AAGGCATGTGAGGTCTCAGAAGAAGGGAAAAGAACTAGAGCTGGAGGAGGTGGAGAAGCTGAAAGAGATGTCAAACAGAGGTGTTGCAATTGCTGGGAGAAGATTATACTGGGCCAAGGTCGAGAACACTTCCAAGCCATTGCAGATGCCCTTGCTGCAATCCCCTTCAATGGATTGCCACATGACTGGCTCGACTTCTTCGCCCAGGCCTGAGGTGACACCACTGGAAGAGCCCTCTTCTATGCTCATCAGACAACAAGAGCTCTACCAGCAGCTCCCTTCATCCCTGTACCTATCTCCTCCCTCAGCAAGAGAGAACTTGGTGGGCTCATTCCCATCAATTGGCAACATCCCCTTCATCAATTCGCTGGTTACCGATGTTCACACCTTGGACATTGGTCAACTGACTGCCCAACTCGTGGTGGCAACTAACACAGAAATCTGCTCTTGGGTAGTCCAAGGCCTCTACCCACCTTCGGAGGACCTCAGGCCTTAAGGGGGGGGGTGATGTTATGCTGCACTCACATTGTTCCCTCTTACAGACACTTATGTAACTTGTTCATGCTCCGTCTCGCCTCTCGAGGTGTTCCCTTTACCCACAAGCCACTGTCTATGCAGTTGGACTTGCATTCCATACGTTTCCCCTTTTCTATTTCCTTTTATGGTAGACCCCTGTCTACCCCATGTTGCACCATAGCTGGGCATTGCGCCCATTCCCCCTTCCTTCCATGATCTGCTGGTGGACCCCGATCCATGTGGTCACATGACTATGTTCACCCTGGGTGAACACTCCACCTCTGACTCATACACGGTTAAACCCTCTCATCTGTGCAGGTTTAATCCCTTGTTTAACCCTGTTCCCTTCCATCTGCAGCAGGGTTGCCCTTGCACCCTCTGCCTTAGGGAACTGGTGAGCAATTCTTGTATTCGAATGTTTGACATATGGTACTGTACATACATATATAAACCTGCATGTATCGTACCAGTCCCTCATTCAAAATCTACTTTGCAACCACCCTTAGCTCTGCACGCTGTACCAACAAGGACTCACCAGTATGACTTCAGTTGGCCAAGACTAGTGTCCCACTGCTAGTGAAGTTAAATTACATGTCACTTCTCGTGCAGTCACATGCTTGTACTTCATTGTACTCGATTCATGACATGGTATGAGTCATCAGCATAACATCACCTTTTGAATCACCTAATGGGCTTGAGGCCACTTTTCACATAACTGCCACATCTCTTGCTTCTCCTTCCATGTCTTCTCACCTTCCACATCCAAGTTCTGCATCTCAAGCATGGCTTTCTCGCAATCAAATAGATGAACCCCTTGACATGGGGACTCCTTGGGCATTTTTCATTCTGTACACTCACAATGCCCTTACAGTTTTAATACCAGATAATGGTTTTCATGTTCCTGAATGCCCTAGCTGCTCCCTCCCTGTCAAAACAGGCATTTCTAGCAGCATCACTCTTAAGCATAGTGGTCAGTTTACAGCTCTTGCCAACCACTATTGCCAGAAAGTGTGTCATGCAGCCCTTCAACACAAGGAGAAGGAAACAGCATTACTGATGGGCCCATCTTTATGTTTTGACAGGGTACATCTTACTGGGGCCAGGCCCACCCATATGTTGTGACAATATAAATAATACTACTGAAGGGCCCATCCATATGTTGTGATGCTATACATGAGATTACTGACAGGCCTGTCTTTATGTTTCATCAGAGGTACATCTCACTGTGGACAGGCCTGTCCATATGCTGTGACAATATAAATAATATACTGAAGGGCCCATCCATATGTTGTGACAATCTAAATAATATTACTGAAGGGCCTGTCCATATGTTGTGACTCTATTAAATGATATTAGTGACAGGCCTGTCATTATGTTTCAACAGGGTACATCTTACTGGGGCCAGGCCTGCCCATATTTTGTGACAATATAAATAATATTACTGAAGGGCCCATCCATATGTTGCAACTCTATTAAATGATATTAGTGATGGGCCTGTCTTTATGTTTTGACAGGGTACATCTTACTGGGGCCAGGCCTGCCCATATTTTGTGACAATATAAATAATATTACTGAAGGGCCCATCCATATGTTGCAACTCTATTAAATGATATTAGTGATGGGCCTGTCTTTATGTTTTGACAGGGTACATCTTACTGGGGCTGGGCCTGCCCATATGTTGTGACAATATAAATAATACTACTGAAGGGCCCATCCATATGTTGTGACTCTATTAAATGATATTAGTGATGGGCCCATCTTTATGTTTCAACAGGGTACATCTTACTGGGGCCAGGCCTGCCCATGTGTTGTGACGATATAAATAATACTACTGAAGGGCCCACCCATATGTTGTGATGCTATACATGAGATTACTGATGGGCCCATCTTTATGTCTCATCAGAGGTACATCTTACTGTGGATGGGCCTGTCCATATGTTGCATAATACTACTGACAGGCCCAACCTTATGTTGTGACTCTATTAAATGATACTAGTGATGGGCCTGTCTTTATGTTTCAACAGTGGTACATCTTACTGTTGACAGGCCCATCTATATGTTGTGACATTATGAAATGACATTACTGACAGGCCCATCTTTATGTTGCCACAGGGGTATGGCTTATTATGAACAGGCCTGTCTAGATGTTGTGACACCATAAATGATATTACTCCCAGGCCTGTCCATATGTTGCCAACTTTGTATTCTAATCATAGATGGGCCCATCCTTATGTTGTGACCCTCTCCATGTTATGATAGGCAGGCCTGCCTTGATGTTGCAACAGGGGTGTAACCTACCAGGATGGGCCCATCCATGTCTTACAGCAACTCAGTATACTTAATTGGTCACAGGCCCATCTAAATGTTTCAACATCCTTACCCACCATGGGCCCTCCCATATGTTGTGGTAATGCACTTACAGGCTCATACATATGTTGCTCTCACTTTAGTCCCTCAGGCCTGTCCATGTGTACTGGCTAATCTATTTAGGCAGTGTGAGTCAAAGTGTGGTTCAGTGGTGAAAACCAACCAAAACCAACACAAAAGACAATGAAAGCGAGTGGTGGTGTGCCTATGCGGTACCTAGATGGTGGAACCTGTTCTTTGGGAGGGTTTTTGTGAGCTACAACACTCAAAGATGAGTGCTGAGGGTTGGGGGTGCTCCTGACGAAGAGGGAGCAAGAATGTGATAGAAAGTGATAGGGTAGACTGCTGTCAGCCTACAGAAGGATGGATGGTGACTTAATTCGATGTCCTAAGCTGTACTGAGCTCAGGGAGGGCTTGGAGCGAAGTATATGGATGATAGATGATGATAAGCAAAGTAGATGATAGCTAGACCCTTAATAAAGTCTCAACTATCGAAGCTGATGAATGATTTACTGAGAGATGATAAATTGCGAGCAAGAGGGGCTCTCTGATGTCTTCTTTTTTTTGCTACCTAAGTACAGTGACTTATATACAGTACAGGGGTGTTGCCTATGGAAAACAAGGTGCAAACACTTGGTAAGTGATTGGTAACTGATGAGTAAGGAATGTAAGCGATGGGTAATCATCTTGGAAAGCATTGGTAAGCATTGGTAAGGATAAGTAAGCCAAAAAGTGAAGAATCAGTAAGCAAAGTCAAAAGATTGGTAAGTATTGGCAATAGGTGAGTCAAAGACAGTCAGAATGTCAAAGTATGAGTCAAGCAATGTCAGGAACCAAGAAAGCACACTGGAATCACATTAGGGGGAGGCTGTGCATGTCACATCTTGAAGAGATCGCTTTTAGGCCAAAGTGGGATGACAGAGAGGCAGCACTGATCTGATGCTGATATAGTACATCCAAAAGTGGACAGGGTGAGTCAGATGTCAACAGGGGTCAAGCTTTGGGGGTCTGTGGGGTGACAGGAGCATAGGGGATCACAACTTTCCCCCCCAAACCATCCTCTCAGTGAAGCAAATAAAAACTTCATGAACGAGGCTCTGTTGGAAGAGAGGATGAAGGGGGAGTGTCTTCTGCTGTATCTTGCAACAAGGAGGCAAGATGTGCATCATACTCGTCATGGATGCGATCAGGGAGAGTGGAGAACAGTAGATTATACTGTAGCTGTCACAATTTTGGAAGAATGATGGATGAGACTGGTATGAAGATGTTGCAGGTGGCAGGGAGGAAGGATCCATATGCTTCTTGGACTGGAGAGACTGAAACGACCACATAAGACCTTTCCAAGCAAATGACAGACCTGAGGCAACCAAAGAATGTCCTCCTGGAGGTCATACTGACAAAAAGAACATGCTGTCCAAGCTGGATGGGCTGAGAGGGGGCAGATGAGGGTGGGATGTACCAGGACACTTCAGGATGGAAGCTGGTAGGAACTCCTGGTAGATATATGTAGCCATGGTCCCTAGCAAAGGGGACAAGTGAAATGACTGATGTGGAGGCAGCCATATCAGAAGAATTAGCAAAATGAGCGTCTTTTGGAGGGAGTGCTGTAGAAACATGTGGAGTGCGCAAATCCTTTCCAATCCTGGAAGGTAGGATCACATGGCTGAGCACTACAAGCGAGTGTGGGAATGGTTTTGGTGTCTGCAGAACTGGTGGAGATACGTCGAAAACTGGAATGCCGTACATGGGCACTTAAGAATTTTATTGGTGCTTAACCTGCCTCCTCCTTTTTCTTTGGCATCGACAACTTGTTCTTGTGTGAGGGATGACTGCCAACATTGCTGGCTGTCCTTCTTTGCATGAGGGCTATGGTCTTCACCTCCATTCATCAGCTACATCCATGTCCACCTCACCAAACACCTTTGGTGTGTGACAGTGGGCCCATCTCAGGGTCTGTATAAGTGTTGGTGTTTTGGCACACAGGCTGCCCATGTGTTGTGACTAAATGTGACTACACTATGTGAGGAGGTATCCAGGAATCAATGATGATGCCAGAGATGACATTGATGGCAATGACCCAAGTTCCATCACACCTGCTCCCACCACAACTACAGCCATGGAGTGTTCCAATCCTTGTGAAGCTCAGATTGAGGTGGACCTGGAGGAAGTTCATGGAGATGAGGTGGAGGAGGCAAGTGAAGATGTTCCAGGCTTTGAAGACAAACTTGAGGATGAGATCAGTGATCCTACCTTATTGGTCATAAATGGGGATTCTTCACTGTTGTCTCCACCATCTGGCCCTGGCATCCAGCCTCTCAATTACCTCTTTGTCAACAGCAAATATGTTCACAAATCTATGGTCTGTCATGTTCTTTTCAATGGTAACTTCACCCCCAAGTCACATGATTGCCTCCTTCGAGTTTGTGGCTACACAGCTGTCAATAAGCCCATGGAAAGTGTGTCATCACTATCTGACTCAACTGCAGCCTGTGCTTCTTTCATTGTTGGCAACCCTTACCTGATGCTCATCCACTTTCATGACAATGCTACCCATCTTGCCCTACTTCATTCAACAGCTATCCATGAGAATGTCATTTCATGTTCTGATATCAATTTTGACAGTCTCCTCTCAGTAGCTGGAAAGGTGAAGATTACTGGCAAGATTCTCACTCTATTGGTGTCTCCACTGACACCTGATGATGATTGCTTCTGGATCTGGAATGGAGCATATTTGAAGGCTAGTTCTCCCCTCCCCAGATCCAACATCTCAACACAGAAAGTGGTTGAGGTGACAACACTTGGTGCCTTGATCCATCTCATCAATCCTAGCATTGTCACTGCTGCCAACTACCTGCCTTCTGAGCACTTGGCTGAAGTCAACTCTTGTGGCATCACATGGGCTATCAGTAATGACACACTTGAGGTAGCTGTTAATGTGTTGTGGAAGTGGATTGTGGATTCGAAACTTGCTGTCTTGAATATCACACTGATGCAGAGCTCAAATTCAAGCTTTCCATACTCAATGAATAGTAAGATTATCCAAGACTACTATATACCTGTACTAAAATACTTTCAGGCAGTCCAGCATTGTCTTGCAAAGAAGCAAGAGTTGCATTCATCAGTAGACCACTTTGTGAGTTGGTAGTCCTAGGGAATCTGTCCAGTGCTGGACAGCTCTGGACAGCTCTGGCCAGCAAAAGTGATTTACTGATGTTGTGTGCTGGCAGTGGGAATGGTGTAGAAGTGAACTGTCCTCTCTGTCAAAAACCAACTGCAGACTTATGTTCTCATATGGGCACACACATCCTTCATGCATTGTGAGGGGTAGGAGAGACTGATTTGTATTCTGCTGTTGGTCAGTTGTTTCCATGTGGTTTCTGTGGACATTCAGGTCATCCCAATTGCACAGTCAAGTTGAAGTCAACCAAATGCACAAAAGAGATTGATACACACTGCATTTACCAAATCCCCTTCAAATATGGATTTGGGGAGTGAGGATCCACTGCCTGCCCATGCCACAATGTTTTGGAGGATGACAAGCTGCAGGATTGTCAAGTCTATAGAGAGGAATATACTCAGACTTCAAGTTGGTTGAAGCTGAGGTGCAGTAAGGAAAAAATAAACTGCTAAGTGTCCGCTTTTGGATTATGTAATTGGTGAACCACAACTAAGGTAAAGGTGATAAACTCCAACATGCCCCTTCAACAAGTATAGTCAAGAAGGAACTAAAAGAAAATAATACCCATAGCTTCAGAGAAATGAACATGCTTCTCCCTAGACACACCCTTAGTCAGCACATCAGCCACCTGGTCATTGGTAGACACATAGTTGATGACTACTTCTCCAGAATCCACCTTCTCTCGTATGAAGTGATGACAGATCACAATATGTTTCGTGTGGTCATGGAACATTGCATTTTGAGCCAGTGAGATAGCAGATTGATTGTTGATGAGGAGGGGAGTGGGTTTGTGTGACGACACAGTCTCAAGTTCAAGGACTAGGGTACGAATCCAGATGGCTTCTGTACTCGAGAGAGCAACAGACAATTGCTTTTTCGATGACCAGCTAACAGCTCCACCAGAAAGGATGAAAGTATAGCCAGTAACAGAGCAGCAGTCATTGATATCCACTGCCCAATCTGCACCTACATACCTGATCATGCATGCATTTGAGTCTCACTTATAGGTAAGACAGACATCAGGGGTGCATTGCAGATAGTGAAAAACATGCTTTAGCACAGTAGAGTGTTCATGCCCAGGGCATGCAGCATGATGGCTCAACATGCCTATAGTAAAGGCAAGGTTGGGCCTTGTTGCTAGCATTGCATACATAAGGGCTCCAAGAGTGCCCTGGTATGACTTGGTGTCAGCCTCTGGAATTTCTAGTTTTTTGAGCTTTAGGTTAGGCTCAATGGGGGTCATGATGGCTTGCCCCTCACTCATTCCAAAGCACTCAAGAATACTCTCGACACATCTCTTCTGTGAGAGCTGTATGATAACTTTATCACAGTCATGAAGTATCTCCATTCCTAAAATCCAACATGCCTCCCCCAGATCTTTCATCTCATACTCCTGCAAGAGCTGAGCCTTGATGCACTCAATGGTTGTGCAGCACTTTGAGAGTATTAGCTTGTCATCTACGTAGACAGCAACAACAATGAGTATGCCATTCTCAACTTTAAAGAAGAGGCCATGGTCGGCCTGGCTTCGAGTGAAACCCAGGGATTCGAAAACAGTCCAAAGATGAGAGTACCATTACTTGGGGGCCTGTTTAAGGCCATAGAGTGCTTGTAGCAGCTGCCAGACTTTGTTGCTGTCAGGAGGAAAGCCTGGAGGGGGGCGAAGGTATATTTCTTCATCTAATAGTCCATTTAGGAATGTGGATTTAACATCCATCTGATGAATTTTGATATTATACTTAGTGGCAAGTGCCAGGAGTATGTGGATGGTTGCGAACTTGGTGATGGGTGCAAACATCTCTGTGTAGTTGATCCCATGTACCTGTGTAAAGCCTTTGGCTACCAAATGAGCCTTGTACCTCTCAATTTCACTGGTCGGCCCTCGCTTGATCTTGTAGACCCATTTTGAGTCAATCAGTTTACAGCCAGGAGGCAGGGCAACTTCCTCATACAGTCCAATGGACTTAAAGGTCTGTAATTCGTCAATCATCGCAGCATACCACTGATCTGCATTGGTGCATCACATTGCATTGTTGAATGAGCAAGGTTCATTGTCATGTGTTGTGGATGCTTTGTAAGCCACTTCCTCATTTGTCTCAGCCACCTCAGCCTCGCTGTTGCCACATGCATGCTCTCACTCTCGAGCAACTTCATCAATGGGGCTTCCACCCTCACTCTCTGCACCTGGACCCTCTGGCGCCACAAGCTGTTGACTAGGTAAGGTTGTCCTGTCATAGGAATTGATGAAAAAGCGATAATCATCATCTCTAGGTGGTGCTTTTTGTGTTCTGGTGGACCTGCAGGTCTCTCGAGGCAGAATTGGGGTTGGATAGGGCTGTGGGGGTGTTGCTTTATGCATGGTAGGTTTCAGCATCATCCTAGCTCACTTTACTGATGGTTTTGAGGCTGTTTCAAGTGCTTTTTTAGGACTCTGGCTGCTGCCTGGCATGTTACCCTCTGAGGGTTGTGGGGAATGATCTACCATTGATCCTGAGTGATCAGGTGCATCATTTGACTCGATTTCGACCTCATGGACAACATCTTCACTCTCTCCCTCACTAGACTCGAGATCCCCATCATCAGACTCCATGTGAGCACAGCCTTCCATGCCCAAAGCCCTGATGGTATTCAGGTGTGATGTATTGCCCTTTTGGGCATTCCCTCTTATGTCTGCTGGTTTACCAACCATGCCTGCAGGATCTTCTTCTATCTGGATGTGATCTAGGCCCACTGCTGTGCTTCCCTCATCAAATACTACATCCCAGGATTTGAAGACATGACCAGTGGGCTGGTGTAAGCATAGGTATGCTTTCTTGTTCTCTGCAAAGCCCAGATGAATGCATTCTAAGGACTTTGCATCTAGCTTCTTTCTTTTTTCCTCAGGTATATGTACATGTGCAGTGCAGCCAAAGGTTCAGATATGGGCCAGCAATGGCTTAATCCCTGTAAAGGCTTCATATGGTGTGACATCCTCAGAGATAGCACAGGTTGGTGATCAGTTGATTAGGTAGGCTGCATACTGGATAGCATCCCCCCAATATTTATTTGGCAGTCCAGCATCTTTTAGCATCGCCCACACACTTTCAACAAGTGTGTGGTTCATCTGCTTGGCAACACCATTCTCCTGTGGGGTATAGGCATTCATCTTCTCGTGGTGGACCCCTTTCAACTTGAGGTAGGCCTTGAACTCATCTGAGCCATACTCCCCACCTCTGTCACTCCGAAAATAATTTGCTTTTTCACCAGTCTTGACTTCAGCTCGAGCAAGGTAGTCTTTCACTGAGGGGAAGACTTTGTCCTTGGATTTTATTAGTTTAACCACAAGGTGGTGCAAGCAAGCATCAATGAAGGTTACAAAGTAGCAGTGTCCAGTTTGGGCTGTAGTCTCCATGGGGCCACATGCATCAGAGTATGTCTGGTAGAGTACTGTTGGGCTTTCAACATTTGACCTGACAGGTATCACCTTATGGTGTTGCTTCCCTTCAAGGCAAGGTTGGCATACTGAGTTCAAGTGCTCAGTGCCAGTAAGCTCCATGCCTTCAACCATTCCCACTTTAACCAGTTTAAGCACAGATTTTGTATTTGCATGCCCAAGTCATCAATGCCACAAGTCAAGTGTGGCTACAGACTTTGGTGCTGCAGCTGCAAGTGCCAGGAAAGTAAGGGTAGGGTCAAGTAGTGGAGATGGTCCTTGTATGACAAGTGCTCCATGACTCAGAGAGTGAGTCCTTGCTGCAAAGATGTAGAGTGAGCCTTGATGATGACCCACACCTACAGTGTCTGTACCATCGGTGATTGAGCATGTTCCACCTGTGAAGGTGACCTGGACATTTCTAGTGGCAAGGTATGCCACTGAGAGGAGGTTTGCGCTGAGATCTGGAACAAAATAGACCTTCTGTAGTAGGATTCTACTGGTCTTCCCATTTGGAAGATCCATACGAAGTTCAATCCATCTGATGGCAGTAGCAGGAATTGTGCTCCCATTTCCAATGACTACAGGCTGTGGGGGTGAGACATCTTTAGCAAAGTGAACCATTTCTGCTGACAGCACATATTCACAGAGGCACTGGAGTCAATGACCCAGTGCATGTGTAGATTCTCACCATTGTCAGTGGCCATGAAGAGCTGTAGGGCACTGTCTTCAGCAGGTGAGATGTGCATGACTTTAGCAACAAGTTTGTCCTCCTTAGGCTTATCCTTTTCAGCCTGTGATGGGGACTTGGCTGCCTCATCAGCCTTCTTCTTGTAGCAGTCATCTTTGACATGGTTTGTCTTCTTGCAATAGCCACAAGCCTTTTTCTTTTTCTTGTCATTCCTCTTTCCCTTTTCGTTAGGCATCTTTGTTATGAGGGCAGTTTGTGCTGAAGAGGTGCAGTGAGACTTCTCTTCTATCAAGACTTGGGAAATGACAGAGTCCAGAGTTAGTTTCTCATTGGACAACATGAGTATAGTGTGAAGGGTTGAGTATGAGGCTGGAAGGGAGATGACCATGGCTATGGCAACAAGAGAGTCTTCAAGGGGCTGTCCAAGAGACTTTAGGATTGTTGCCTTCTGCCACATGGCATTAAGCTGCGTCTCCATTGAGACATCATCTGCTAGGGTACCACAAAATAGTTCACCAATAAGGTAGGCTATCATTTGTTTCCCTTTGCCTTCATAGCACTCACATAGCTTTTTCCAGACTTCTGCTGCCATCATGGCATGCAGAACACCACTAAGTGGGTTGTCCTTTAGAGTAAGTGTGATTTGAGCCCTTGCTTCTTTATCCTTGTAGTGCCAGTCTGTGCATGCAACTGGATCAGCTGCTGCATCAGGTGCCTTCAACTTTCCTTCTACAAGCTCCCAAAGTCCATGGACATCTAGGATCATCATAATTTGGTACTTCCATGTCTGGAAGTTTGAACCATTGTCTTCGAGGGACGGTATGTCATAGAGTCAACTGGAGGCTTGAGTAGCTTTACCCAAAGGTGTAGTAGAGGTTACTGTTGAGGCAGAGACCAGGACCTTTGAGGGACCAGAAGTGGATGCTGACAGACCAGACATAGTAGACACTTTGTACCAGACTTGATGTGTTCAACTTTCCTAGGATTAGAACTCACAAGTGGGGCTCATAACCTTTTGGAGGATGATGAGCTGCAGGATTGTCAAGTCTATAGAGAGGAATATACTCAGACTTCAAGTTGGTTGAAGCTGAGATGCAGTAAGGAAAAAATAAACTGCTAAGTGTCCGCTTTGGGATTATGTAATGCTGTGCTCGGTGAACCACAACTAAGGTAAAGGTGATAAACTCCAACACAATGTCCCTGTCATCTGTCCATTATGTGTCCACTGTGGGTGCAATACCGAGTTCAGAGATGCAGTTTGGTGCTATAACATGGAGCAGCACCTCAGCTTCTTCCATCCAGAGTACACTCATCCTGGAAAGGTGATGGGTCACCATTTACCCCGCCATGTCTTTGACATCTTATACATCACACCTGCCAAGGAGAAGAAAGCCAGTGTTCCTGCTTGCCCTGCTTTTACACTCATTGCTGAGAAGGAGAACTATGGGGATTCAGTGGTTTCCACTGGGCAGAAGAGGAAGGGCAGCAGCACAAGGGCAGTCGCCGCTGGGGGTAGCTGTTCGTCTGGAGGCAAACGAGCTCGCACATAGTTTTTTTTCTCTTTTTTCCCTGCTGCCATTACGCTCACTTGATGCTCGAAAAAACCGTACTATCATTCATGTGATGCGTTAGAATCGTTTCGAGTACTTTCGTTGTCACATTGTGTTCGCGTCTGATGCAAAATCCGACTTGTTGTTTGTAGCTCTCCTCGTATTGCGGTGAACGGGGTCCCTGCCATTCGAAAATAATTCTGTTATTCTAAAGCGCACGTGACGACCTAAACATAGTAATTTTGTGACTGTCACGGGGGACGGGGTCCCCCTCTTGACTTCTGCAGTTAGTGTACGAGACTTTAACATCGCACACCTCTTGATCCTCCCCCACAATCCTATCCAACCTCCAAAACGAATAGACATCCACTGGGAAGTACAGCCCGACCATGCTTGGTGTTGTAAGCATACGCTTACTATCTTGGTACACTGATGTCTTGCCCCTATTCAGTGTTTGAATGTACTGTACATCTGCTATCTCTCGTTTCCCCCCGCCCGCAGTACGAAACTGAAGTATATATCTGCATACTAGACTACGGGTATCAAGCTTCAATAAGTTATCGGTAGTAGTAAGGAGTGTAGACTGTCACAAGGTATGCATGTCCTACAAGACAACAATATCCAAACAAAACAAGCGAATGAAATAGTTTGAGTCCTTCATTTTCTCGCGTTGCCTATAGCAACCCAATCGCAGGGAATCATGGCTCGGTGGACGTAGGAAGGCATGCGCAGTACCGTCTCTTTGTGAAGCTCGTTGGCAACGCAATTCTCCGAGCAGAGCACAAACCGACCCAGTCCGCCCTCGCGTCCAGTGAAAAGGCATACCGTGGGGGGACGTTTCGCAGTGAAATAATAGAGTGTCCCCGAGAACGTGTCGATCAGTGTGTAAATGTCGTCCCTGGTCTGCACTAACGCTTCGTTGTATTGACTTTCAAGCCCTTCTCGGACGTCATCTTCTGCTGGTTTAGCAAGCAGCGAACCGCTGGGGGTAAAGAATAGGCGCTGGCGCTTAGACAACGTCGCGCCATAAACACGGTTGGCGGCCTCTTCGGGTGACATCACGCCTTTGACCCCGATAAGCCAAGGTTGTGTGGCGAGAATGCGACCAGAAATGGAGTACGCGGTCAGGAAAGGACCAGAGACCAGCATGAACGCTGCACATGCAAAGAAGACGGTACCAACTGATACAGTTGCAGGGATCGGCATCCACGTTGCTGCATAAAGCACCCAGCCTGGAAGAGTGACCGGTATTCTGCCAGCAATAGTTCGCCTGATCGACTCCGTCGTCTGGAACGAAATCTCTGGAAAGTCCTCCCAGCGGATGCATGTTGCTCGACAACCATCGAGAACCAAAGCACCACTCTCAGTTACTCCGGCAACATTAACCTCTGGTTCGATGTCCCAAAGTTCCGACCCATACTGATCGTCGTCGGCGTACCAACAAGCTTGAGGTTGGATGTTCTGCGGAAGCATCGAAACCATCCGCTCTGCCATACGGTCGCTATCATTGGCCATCGAAAGCCGAGCTAGGGCCTGTAGCTCCGTTTCAAGGATACTTGGCATGATGCGATGCTCGAAGAAGCCCATCAAAGCGTAAACTCTCTCGGCAGGATAAGAAAGGTTCGGTGATCCCGTGTGCTGGAGCTGCGGCCCGTTTTGAGGGGGCCGCTTTTCCGGGTCCTGTGCTTTGGGTAGAGCGGCGCTGCCCCGACGCCAAATAGCAGCTTTAAGACGAGTAAGATGTTCCAATCGGTCTAGACGATCCTTTCCACCATAAGCATTGATGATCGCGGTCTCCTCGCTGTAGTACTCGTAGGCCTTGTTAGCGAGCTCATGAAGAGTAATGGGTGTAACAGGTCCGTCCAACCCAATCCGGTAACGAAGTTCCCCGCTCAGCAACGCTTCTGGGAAGGTCCACACACGACCGCCCCAGCTCCTCCAACTTTCAATGCTGTGCTGATCGTCCGACTTGCGAAGGGTAATAAGAGTGAAGACCGCTCCGCGATAAATATCTGACATCCGATAGAGGTCAACGTTCTTGTCTTCTGTGGTCTCGCCCAAGCATTCGAGATCCAGCCAATACGCCTGCAATCCACACTGCAACGTCGTGGAACGGACCGACTCGATGAACTGCTTCTTCTGCTCCTCTTCCCTCTTCTTTCCTTCATCATCAGAGCCTCGCTGAAAGACATCACTCTGTCGATATGAGATGGCGACGAAGCGGTAGTTGATAATAATATCCGGGTTTTCGCAAAGGTACCATCCATTCTCGCCGTATATGGCGAGTCGACGAGGGCGGAGAGCGTGGGTGATACTTTTCACAGTGGCGGAAAAATTGGCAGGGGTGGGCATCGGACTCTTTTCGACCATCCTGTCGAAGATAGAATATTCCCTACGCGAGCGGGCAGCCCACATTTGTCCCCAGTAGCTCATGAGGTATTCAGGGTACGCATCCGTGTAACTCCCACCGCCTGGCAGACCATCGAGTGGCCAAAAGAGTAGATAGATGGAACACAGGATGAATTTCAGAGGCCAGAGAAGGATTTGTGCAATGGTAGAAGGTGGGCCACGGAACAGAGAGACGGTGAGTTTGGGTACCCGCCGAACGCTATCGGAAATTTTGACCTGATTCGTGTTTGGAACGGGGTGCATAGCCTGAATTCGGAGCCTGGTGCATATCCCGGTTTCAGGATTCAAATACCTCTGATTATCTTTATGGGTTTGCCACTCGAGGCTGAGGTCGCGGCAAGTAGTGCGCCTCTCTTCAGGCCGCGGTGATGCGAAAGGGAGGAGCATACTGCCTGAGTACGCGGAAAGGTTAACTTGGAAAAACTTCAAAAGTCAACTAGCGCACCTTAACCGACAAGGGTGATTAGAAGTCTAACCAGAATATTTTCTCGCACGACACGAACTCTTATAGCAATGCCATCGATAAACGCGCTTGTCCCAATTAGTATCCAATTGAGATTTTTACACGGATCAATCAATCTACTCGCCCTGAAGCTGGGCATTTGTCACGTACTGCACAGGCTTCCCTTCGAGAACCGACCGGTCCCATGAAAGGACGCCGTCACGTCCACGCATTCCAAGACACCTGGCTGACTGATCTCAAGTTAAAGACCCAGGAAAACTGCAAACAGAAGTTAGTATACAGTGGTGTCACTTGTTCGGCAATTTGTCAGGGCGTGGATTGAAGGACCAGTCATCAGTCATCGGTCACCTAAGGATGACCTCGAAAATGGGGCGCCAGGCACATGATGGAGGCCTGTGTTACCGTCCCTTTAATAATAATAAATCAGCATTTGGTCGCATTGGAAGAAGTACTCTCTCATTACTACAGTTTACAGGGCCATAAGAGGCCGTCAGGTGGGTGGAGCCGTGGAACGAGAGCGGGACTAAAGCAGGTCCCGTTGTTGACACTTACGTAAGCAGCAACTGAGCTGTTGGCGTTCTTCTGAGTTCTGAATCTTAGCTGGGTGTTTCAGGTATGCAAGCACGCGAGGCCAGTCCATGCATGGATTTTCATGCTATACTCTCGACAATGGACGCAGACCATAGCGTTGCCTCACGACGCAACGGCGTCGGTCTGGTCTCTCAAAGCGTTATTGTTACTTGGGGGCTCCAGCATCGCACATGTCCTTTCGATCTACGTATAGACCATCGCGCAAAGATCAGAGTCCACCCTTCAAAAGCAAGATGCACGCACGTCGTTCGACAGCAATTCTGAGTTAATTTATATCCCCTCCACTCCCCCTTGTATCCCATGACGCCAGAGACACCTGCATTCTCCGCCTCCGAGGGGGAATACTCGCGCGTACGCGAGTCGTCGAACGACCGTGGCAGAGTGGAACGGCATTCTACCTCTACAGACTCGCCAGTTAGCAGTAATGCAACCTTGGTAAATGATGAGGACCGTCTACGGGTAGAGGTGTATAAGCTCATCCTATCACCTCCCAACCAACAAACCAATGACCCCACCACCACCGATACTCAGGTCATATCTTCTACCTCTCAACCGACCTTCAGTCCCTTTGCGGCACCATTCGTTCCTTCCCAGACGACCCTTTATTCCATCCCAGCACATCCGCCACCGGCATTGGTCTTGCAAGACAAGCCCAGCTGGCTCAGTTCCTTCTGGCAAGGGACGACGACAGGAGTATACGCAGAGCAGAAACTGCATGCCACGCGTATGGTCGAAGCTAGGAAATGGAGCTTTGTCGACGTTTGTTCCCTCGCGCATAGGTTCTCCTGGCAGTGCGCAACGCCCGACACATATGGCCCGTTCGCACGTGCTGTATATGACGCTCTCAACGACTCGTGTGGTACATGGTATTCCTCCTGCTTCTGCTTCTACCTTAAGAAGGGAGCGATCGAATCCTTCGAGTACGCGTGGTCGAACGTAAGTATCTTTGTGACTCTCCGTCTCTCGATACACCCTCATTGGTCGTACGATTCTTATCAGATCGATCCCATGAAGGCCGATAAAGACGACTACACCTTCCGTATATCGTGCTTCGTGGCCGAACTTTATGCAGTTGACCTGCTCTCCAAAGCCCGAGTGCACGAGTGCTTCGGAAAGGTCCTTCACAACATGTGCTCTTTGGAGCATATCCATATCCTATGGGAGATGGTTTCTCGAGGGAAGGAGAGCCTTTGGCAGGGTCCAAAAAGCTCGCAACTGGTGACTGCTTTCACCAGTCTTTTCGCAAGAAGAACGGAAACAATTCTCGGCGCCACCAACACCGGACCTCCTGCAATGGTAGCCACGAAGGTAAGTCATACTTTTCGTCTGCGCCTGCTTTTCTATAAATAATTCGTTACATAGGAAGTCAACGACATATCACAGATGATTCACAATTGGCACAATCAACCTTCGACCGCCATCAGCACGACACAGAAGTCCATATGGGCATATCCGTCCTGAGAGCGACATCCCTGGCGTCTATTCCATTCCGTTGTAGAAGAGAGGTACATAGTGACGTATCATATCGCCCCCATCATTTGACGGTATTGGATAATCGATTATTGAGAATTTGCAGGATGTAACGAGGACGTCTCTCGAGCAACCTGACAGTGTGTGCCACCGGCAGCAGTACACTCGTCCTTGGAACTCCCTTCTAAGTATAGGCAACCGTTCTCAATCTTCCTATGTGTTCTCGCGAAATTCTAAATACTTCTCACTGGGCCTGCGTAAGCAGACCTAATTCTCGATCCTGATGTGTCTCTTGGCCCACTCGGCCGTGTCCCGAGTCGCGTTAAGAAGTGGGTCCAGGGCCGGGAGAAGCCAGGTGTCCGCACCAACGACTTCTGGAACCGGATACTGAGCTGATGCAGCCAGCGACAAATACGTATGATATGGATCTACGAGGATCAGTAAAAAAAAGTCTAGTCTGAAGTTAGGATAATACCCTACCTGGATGGTCACCTGGTACTTTAGCAATGCCCCCGAACTTGAACTGACATGATGCTATGTAGGACACGATGGAAAGTTCAGAAACTAACTCCTTAGCTCCCAGAATCTAGGGAGAAAATAGGCCAAGCGACTCTGAATCAAACGCTCTTGAAGGTTGGGTTAGAAACTTACAGCTATCGAGGCTCCGCACCAAAAGCTGTAACAGGCATCCGCGCCTTTGCACGTCCGTCCTCGGAAACCACCAGAAGGCTCCTGGTTCACGACCAGCCACCGCACGGTACGGAGTTTGTCACTTTCTGACAGTTGTTCGCCTTGTCCCGCAAGGAAGATTGACGCTAGCGCGCAATATGTAGGTCCACCTGTGGGCAACCTCAGTGAAAATAAGCAGTGAAACTAATGGAGGAATGCATTCCTGATGCCTCGGAAAAGGGGGTTTGACCATACCCTCCTTCGTAAGTCTGCATTTAGGTCCCCATCAGTGCCCTGCCGGCCAGTACTAGGCAATTTACCCTGCATGACGCGACGAAGGCCAAAGCCCGATCAATGTGCACTCCCGACCAGTCGCTCAGCATGCTGCTGATGGCAAAAGCGCAATACGTCGTCCTCAAGTCAGCGTCACCCCCGTAAGGCTCCGAGGAGAAACTATGCGAACGGGCAATGGTATGACTCACGTCGAAGTGACTATGAGCAAGATCAGCGTACCTTCCATCCTCGTTCTGACATGCCTTCAGAAACGCAATCAAGCCAGAACGATCTAGGCGGGAAAAATCATCCCTAAGAATTGCGAGGGACAGCAAAGCAGTATATGTCATGATCATCTGGGGTGCATTTTCGGATGACTTGCAATACGTGTCGTCCTTCGAGGATTTGCGTCAGACCATGTTGTAATCTTATGATAAGGACAACGAACATGTTCGGCATGGACGCTCATGAAGGGCCCAGGACGGAAGCCTGTGCCACCTGGACCGTCTGGCTTAGAAGGTTATGATTGAAGTCTGGTTTGAAACACGGAAACGGAAACTCACGAGCTTGCTGCGCCCATATCCACTCCCGCCACGATTCGGTCTCTGAGGCTTTAATCTCGGCTGGAATCTGTCCCGTCAGATCCAATGTTCCTAAGCAGTAGAATACTAGAGCCATTCTATATTGCATTGACGAATGATTACATTGAGTTAGGAGTCGATGCAAAAAGCGTGCGCACTTGAAGGGATCCGTATCAACCTGGGACGCTGGCAATCCTATCATACACCTCTTGCAATGTGTCGCATGACCCATCCGGACCAGAGAAGGGAGGACGTCGTCAATCATCGATCACGTTCACCCTAGGTGATCTCCTGGAGTTTTTTCAATCGTAGTGTGAGCTGGAAGGCGCAACACCGGAGGTATCAATGGCTACCGTCAGTGTCGTGGCAGGGGTCTAAAACACAGGGATGACAAGCTTAAAGCTTAATTACCTCCGTGTGTGATCTTGAAGCCAAGCTGATAACACGAAGCCACCCGTCTCTATACTAAATTGGAGTCCTGATCGCCACTACAAGTACTATTTCACGAGGCAAGCAAGCATCTAACTTGTCATGGACCCTACAGTTAATGTACGGGCCCTATTATGTAGCGGAACACAATGACTATATGAAATCAGTTTCGGGGGGAATAAAAGCTCGGAGCACCAGTGTTCCAGGGATATCCAAGCTGATCAAGGGTCCGAAAGTACGATTCCGAGTCAAATGGTTTAGGTGGCATACTTGCAACTGTGGCCTTACATGCGGAGCAATTTGAGAGCACCAAGTGAAAAACGGGTACCGACACGTGCAGGGCGAGATCCGCAAAATTATTTTGCGATAGTAAATGGTAATCTCCAGCGACCAATTTCAGAGCAAGCAGAAAAAAGAAAGGTGTATAAGCTCGTACCATCCCTACCATAAGCAACAGCAGATCCTGAACCGGGTTCCACAGGGTCGTCCGCTTAGAGTAGCAAATCATCACCGTCACCTCCCGCAGCCGAAGATGCACCTCCGGGTTTCACAGGGCCCAAATTCCCAAAACTACCGCTCAAAGCACCACCTCCCATCCCTATCGGTGCGGTTACAGGCTTCTGAGATGATGCCCATATCCCAGCTTCAGCCTTCGCCTTCTCGAGGTCCTTGATCGATTTCCCGTTAGATGATGGTTTGCCACCCGGCGCAGAAGACGTTGAACCGAGAGACATTGACCACAAGTCTTCGAAACCAGATAGCCCTTTCGAAGGGGTAGGCGCCGAAGGAATTGTGTGAGACATTGAGGCTCTGTTACCGGCAGACGATGTCCGGGCAGTAGTGCGAGAGAGACTCGTTGGCGAGAGAGGCCGTGAAGCTGCCCATAAGTTGCTTGGAGCAGGTGCGACTACTGGAGTGTTTACAGCTTTCGCGGCTGTCGTGGTGGCGGCGGCAAATGCGTTGAAAGAGGTATTTGTAAACGTAGAAGGCGTAATCGTGGACTTGGCTGCGGCAACAGGAGGCGTAGCAGTCGGTTGTGGGGGACTCGAACCGAGCATCTCCAGAAGGGTAGGCTTGGAAGAAGTAGATGAATGCGTGGGAGATGTGGGTGCGACCTGGAAATCTGCAAAATCGTCATCTAAGAAGAGCGTCAGCTTGATTGACGGCATAGATAAGGTAGCCTCACCGTCGATGCTAGCAGCCAGTGAGGGTAATGCCTTGTTGGTATTAGTGGAAGCAGCGCGGAAGTCAGAAACCCCAGTAGGCTCCTCGTCAAATCCACCTAACAGATCAACCTCTGGCTCCTTCTGCTTGCGCGGAGCCGAAGCTGCCTGTGTCCGCAGTGGGGACGCGGGAGTGCCCGCTGAACGAGAAGTACTATGACCATTGTTCACAGAATTGGACCTGCGAACAACGCTTTCGTCATCACCGGCTGTGTATTCCTCGAAGTCTCTGCGGCCCGCGCTATCTGTATAACCTGAGTTGCCTCCCGAAGAGCCACCAAAATCTGGCGAAGCTACAGTGAGCCACGGGTGCATAATGCTTTGCATACTGGACCCACCATCTCTGCCGCTCATTCTATCACCATAATAACCGCCAGTTCCTCCAACAAAGCTATCATTCCCGAAGCCCCCATAGCGACTTCCCCCAGACGCAAAGCTCATAGGGTCATTGCCAGTGCCAGTGTATTTGTGGCGGTTAGTCTTTGCCTTGCGCCTCTCTGTACGGATAGTTTCCACATCGGAGAGCAATTCAACCAGTTCGCGTGCGCGGTTACGAACTGTGACCAAGATGAAATGTCAAGTTGTGGACCATCTAAGAATGGACGTACCGTTCAGACCCTGATCCTTTCCTTTCTCGTCGATGTAGTGAAAATTCCGAAGCATCTTCAAGGTCGATATGTGAGAACGCGCATCGTCGACAACGCGTTCGCTGCCATGCTTTACGAGATATTCAAGCAATTGCAAGGCCTGAGGAAATGCTGAGTTGCCGTGAGGTTAAACTTTTATGGCGAGACATACTTTGTAAATCTGCCTCCACTGTCGCGCCTCTTTTTCCATGAATCGGGCATATATGGCAGGCATGACTTCATTGAAATGTTGGCTAGTACGAGGTAAGATATTACCTATTTCCGTCACAGTACCGATATTTGACTCACAAGTTGAATGTCCTGCGAGTGCAGGTGAGTACATGCTTGCATAAGATCGTTGATCCTTACCCTTGTGCGATGTCTTGCATTAATGTGGAACTTGCCCCCCTGCAAGTATTATAATTCAGCTTTGGCGCAACTGTGTTACGAACAGGGAAATCCGCACCAAGGCTCGTCGTTTGTCGCTTCCCGTACTTTAGCTTCCATCTCGCTGACATTCAGTACAGCATTTTTAGCCTTGGAAATGAGTCTCAGCAAACTGAGTCATGCAGGCCAGGCATGTCAATAGCACATACCTGATTATACATAGCCTTGATGTCATAGAGCGAAAGGCTAGAGAGAGAGGTTGCGAAGGAATCAAGACGATCCATGGTGGGGGCTATCCGGTGTGCAGGTGCAACGCTGCGTAGAACGTCCGAGAGCAAAAGAACTGCTTATGTAATCGAGGGGCATGGACCCCCATATAAAGGGGTTATTTAATCGACTCTGTGCCATATGATGCTCTTCGAGCGACGAGCTTGTGGCCAAGGCGACTGGTGGGAGTTGGGCGTACTTGGAGTCTCTTTCTGTACATCCACGTTGGGTCGCTGACACCACCGTGTTTCTAGGGCATTACGTTCTCCTCAGGAGATACTTGCCATTTGACCCCTGAGATCTGAGACTCTGGGATGCACCACTGATGGTGAAGTGAGTGCTGTTAGTTCACGCACACAGATGCGTCATGGGTTTAATCTAACTGCAACAGAATGCCTTTGGAAGTTTCTTCGCTGTTGTCGCGTCTTCGCTTCCGACCTAGCAACCATCCCGTGGTCGCAGCAACAGTCCTTGCCGAGGATCCTACTGTTTCCTATGGCCGCGACTCCATAACCAAGCTGCAATTAGAACAGAGGATCCTCCAAAACCCAGACTCTTACATCGATTCGGGCGATTCTTCGCAACCTCCGATAGTTACCGGGGGGCGCCCGGCGGACAGTGGTGTAGGCCTGCCTCATCCCAGGCGCACTCGTTACAATTCAGAACAAGTTCCAGAAAGTGACACGCATGGTTCATGCCTTGCATACACGCAGACCACTAGCGAACAATTAGGAGTTGAGCATGCGTCTAGGGTCACGCCAGGTGGAGAATGGTCAACCTTTGGAAGGAAGAGCGCACGCAAAGCCAGGAGCCGCACACCACAAAGCTCACATAGAAAAACCACTCGTTCACTGTCTTGGAGAGGACGTTTACTCAACCAAGATCATGTTGAGGGAGGGATCCCGTCAGATAACAGTGTGTTTACATCTGGTGCTCTAAATGCGACAAACCCCACTGCCTCGTGTGAGGCACTTCCGTCCTCGAGAAGTGCAGCTTCCGCGAGGGAATCACATTGCAGCCGATCAACCAGTAGGAACTCATCTCCGGCGGACACCTTGTCATCTAGAAGGCGTCGGCGTACTGATCACATTGCTGGTTTGCCTCTCTCCTCACACGTGCACTCCACGACACCTTCGTCTCCACAGTCAGCTTCTGATTCCCCTCGCACTTTCGGGCACCCAACACCTCCTGATAATACCTCTGCATTGAAACCTGCATGTTCCCCTCCTCCTCTTCCCCCTCTTGATCATCCCGAGTTGGCAGCTGCGCTTGCAGCTCGGAATAAGGTTGCAAACGCAACTCAGTCTGCATTTTTCAACACTCCCCCGAGGCGATCGTGTCGAGACCCATTCACACTCATGCCCTCAACTTTTGCTCGTCCGCATGGAAAGCGTGCGAGTTTTCCGGGAATAAGAGAGGTATTTGATACTGGGACACAAGAACAAGAGCAACAACGTAAGACCCATGTCCAGCAACCGTCAGACAGACGCCGAACAAGGACAGTCCCTGGAAGACCACAAAACTTGCGACGGTATAGTGCTGAGTGGAGTGCTCAGCAAGCGGTCAGCGGAATCACCTCTTCCTGCGATCGGACCTGGCCTGCAGAGGTTTCCAGGGAAATTCTGCGCTTGTCTTTGGGCGAAGGGCCAGCAACAGGAGGCGGTCCCGGAGGTGTTTCGGGGTCCTCGGCTAAAAACAAAAGCCAGTCTCAGTCTAGCCAGACACGTGGTCACGGCATGCATGACTTTCCTGATCGGGCGCCAATATCGCCATCATCTTCATTTTTTCCTTCTACACCTCCTCCAGCACGCGTTCCAGGACTTCCGAAAGGGCCAGTGGCTCTGCCAGGTATTCACTTTTTTTTGCCGTTTTGGCGAGACTTCGGGCTAAACGGCATTTATGTCCGACAGACCCCAGCGTTATCGCTCCACGTATTAGACGTTCCTCTACCTCTCTTTACCGACTCAGCCTTCGACGTCGCAGTGGACTGGGTGATTTGAAGATGGCACAGGTTATGCGGAGCCTGTCTGCAATCGAACCCCGACATGATCCGAGACGTACAACGAACGCCAGTCACGAACCTTCAAGCTCAAGTTTGGGTCGCTCTGCGTCAGCAACGACAACGCCAGCTAGAAGCCAGCTACTTCACGTGTATTCAGCGGACACGCCATCACGAACCATTTTACAAGGTTCCTTACGAGCAACCGATGACGCTCCTGCAACCCCGACTCCAGCCCCCAAATACCTCAGCGACAAGAGTAGAGGCAAGCGCAAGGCGGATGACATCGACACCACACCTCCCGAGCTGAAGAAAGAGGGCCAACGCGCTACCTTTGTCATCCCTTCGGAGACCCGAAGTAAGCACCTAGTTCTTTCTTGCTTACGTCAGATTAGCGCAATCAGCCAATACTAAAATATGAAACCAAGGTCAACGGATCTCTAACTCGTCGCACGCCCCATCTTCGTACCATCGTAAACGCGCAAGGATTTCGTCCGTGTCGCCTTTCGCTACCCCTGCTCACTCTCGTCCGCCGTCAATTCAGGAACAGACAGCGAGCAACGGTCATCAACTCGCTTGGCCGAGTAATACGACCTCGGGGCGTGGTGCCCCTCCTCGCACACCTTCGCGTGGTGCATCCGTTCGTTCACAAAACCCAAGTCAACAACCATCACCCTACAGGAAATCTCACGATCGTCGTCAGTCCATGTCACAGACGTCCATCCCTATAAGCGCCCTCGTCTCGCCTCATGCGCCGTCCGTCTCCACGTCAACCAAATTTCACATGCGGGATCCAAGAAGACCGCCAAAGAAACTTAAGGATACGGAGTGGAGCTTGCGGTTTGCAACGCGTGATGAACCTGGTTCACCTTCGCAGGCGTGGTTATTCTTCATGGGCTTCATTTTATTCCCACTGTGGTGGATTGCTGCGTTCTCCATACCCATCCCAAAAACCAGAACTGTTGGGGATGCTAGCTTGGAAAAGGCAGTCACCGTTATTGATGATCCTCAGATAGAGCACGGTATATCTAATATCCAGAATGGTCTTAGCGCGGATTCTGATTACCCTTAACAGACGCGAAGTCCTGGCGCCTTCGATGCCGCGTGATGGCAGTTGTCTCCGCGTTCACATACATACCGTTTATTGCTCTCGTTGCCATCTTCGTGCGAAGATAACGTGCCCTATGCTTCACTTCCGTCCGTTACCCGCACCACATAACGCCGCACATCGCCCATGCCTCGCCCTATGAACTTTGGTTGCATTCTGGTCGTCACTCTCAGTATCATAACCCAACCACTCGTCACCAGTCGGACTGCCACTCGTTTTTCATCAACACTCTTTTTATCAGTCACTCCTTGTTTATAAGTAGCTTCATACCCCCCTCGCCTGCCAGTTAGACGGCCTCAAGTTTATTGCTGTTGTTGTTTAACTATGTACGCTGTTATTGTCGTATAGTATGATCCTCTTGGCCCATATCGCATAGTCACTCAGGGGTAATGCCATACTTGGGATCCCGTATTGTTTGGTGGTGACCTTGAGATGATGAACCAGCTTGAACTTCTAACCATCGTTTCATGCAGATGGAACCTGAAAGCGCCAGGGAACTGCTTGACAGTGTGGAAGGCGAAATATCTTTCTTTCGCTCGGTCATGAGAGCGAGGCCGGTCGGGCTACACAAGCACTTCCACGTCTTAGCCATACGCAACTCTATCTACACCGACACCGGTCGAGTCGTTCCCGTCCAATGTATATGGGAAAAGTTGAAATCGTGCTACGACCTCGACGCGTTGGAAGCAGCGGTGGGGGTGATGTTTTCTTGTCTGTTATTGCTGCCCTCATTGACTCGCCCTACCAAGGAATTCGACGGTTATTATGCGAACACATCAACCCCCTCAAGTTCACAAGCTATTAGGTCCCCGTCGCCTTCAGAAAATCTCTCGATGCACCCATATTTCAAGGAGGAGTATTCGCTACCGGCCGATGAGGCTCTTGACTCGCTTGTCGCAGCCCGCCGCCTCCGGGCTACAGCATCCATACCATCATCTACACCAGCCCCTTCCCCGCGTCAGCCTCACAGAACGAGAAAGGCTAAAGCACCCAGGCGGAACAAAGATAAAGTCGATATGGCTGGCCTAGTTGGGGGTGACAGCGATAGCAGCGCACTCACACAAGAAGAGAGTGGTGATGAGGAAGTCTTTACTCCAAGGGACAGTGTGTTAACGGGAACAGATGCTGGGACAGACTACGAGGAAGACGTTGAGGAGATATCTTCCGGTACGTGGTCGAGACAAATGATATTCATATGGTTTTCGTCACTTGTCATGATTGCAGGTCAACCCAAACCTACCCGCGGTCGAGGCGCAAAACCTGGGCGAGGGGGTACAGCTGGGAGAGCACGGGTGGCCTCCACTGCTGCACGTGGGACAAAAAAGAGGAAAAAATAGAAGACGTGGCCTTGTAAATGCCTCACATCGCGTTTCTTACCGTGAATGACTCTAGCTTGGATGGATACAAATATAATGTACAGCGTAAAAACTGGTGTCGAGGTACCAAACCATTACTCCATAACAGCGTCCATGTTGCTGCCAGAGTCCCTCGTAGGTTTTCTAACTGCATGTTGACTACGCCGTTCAACAACAAATGCGTCAATTCTTGCTTTAAGCTCCAGGTCTAAAGCACCGGTCAATGCCCAGGTCACGGGCAGAACAGGAAAGAACGTACTGGGAAGCACTTCGCTAAATTTGAGTGGCGATCGATTGAATGGATCCTTGGCGTCGGAGAGAAGGTGTGACTTGATCGTTGCTCGATCAATGACCACATGGGACGACGGTAAGGTTACAGGATCCCGCATCAATGTGTACATCAAAGGGTCTGCAACCAGCGAGGGTCAGTCTTATTAATGGCTTGTGGCACAGAACATACCCAGGAATTCTTCTGGAATTTCTCCCAAATCTTCTTCCTGGTCGATAGTCGCCTTAGTCTCTGCAACCTTGACGGCAAACACACGCAGCTGTTCCAGTTCCGATTCCGGTTTCAGCGCTATCTTCCGCGCCTTAGCTATAGCCGTCTCGAATAGTTCCGGTTTGTAAGTTCGACCATCGTTCGCTACAGCACGCGCAAATTCGTCCTGGTCGCCAAGATTCAAATAGACTTGCAAAATGTCACTCAGAAGGTGCCTCGGGTTGAAATTATACTTCTCCGGCTCCTTGACTTTCAACTCTGAACATTTTGGTCCAACCAACGCCTCCAAATTGTAGTCTAGCATTGCAGCCAGCCGGTCGACAATCTCCGGCATCATAAACGGTGCCTTGGTTTCCGCAGTGAAGTCCCTCAGCAAACCTACAGTTGATTTGCCCAGGGTCGTGTAGCCAGATGCGTGACGTTCTAGCCCCCGCAAAGTATTTTCTCTCTCACGTCGGTATTGCGCGGGGCGAGCTTGCCACGCCGCCTGATCAGCCATCTCTGCTTGGAGGTTGTGAATTTGGGTCAATTCACTCAGTGACTCGTCCATAAGGTAGGTGACGTCGTTGATCATGAGGTTGACAAAGCGGACGAACTTCTCCACGTCCCTGTAACGAGCACTCAATACTCTTGTCCACAGTTATAGATGTCAGGAATTACTTCGCTTCAGTGTTAAGTGCCTCGCGGTGAACGGGATTGTCCCAGACCGCCTTTAGTATGTAAGCAATGTTCCTCCTGGATCTGGATCAGCGATGGTCAGCGTGAGGAATCACCGAGACCGACCTGGCATCTAAGTACGTTGGGGAGATAAGGTCAAAATGCTCATTCCGAGGCCAACGAACACGCACTAAATTTGTCATAAAACTGTGAACTGGCACCAGTCTGTTCAACTTCTGCAAGAGTTCATCGGCAAACTGGAGACAGATAACGTATGTATGAACACACCGATATAAAAGTGGGTCATAGCCGGTATGAGATTCTTCAGAGCAACGGGATGGCTGTTAAGCACTCCGCTCAATATACCATTGCGTTCATGGGCATATGGTAACACGCCATAGAAGACAGCCTAAAGCAAAATTAAAGAAAGAAGACGTCAGCTATACGCTCAGTGTGAACGACGACAACAAACCTCATTAATCTTGGACTTCAAAAATGGGTTCTTGATACACCACGTTGACGTCAGGAAAGTAAGCGCAAAAATAACTAGTTCTTCCCTTCCTGAAAGATCCAAACTATTTGGGGAGTGACTACAAAGCATTTTCAGACGCATATCCACGCCAGAACACATTTCAACGTACCGAGCTACGAAAAGGAAATACTCAACCACATCCTCAAGTATGTACTCTGGAAGTACCCGGAAGGACATGGGAATTTCCTGGGGTAAAGGCAACCTAGAGCATCGGTAAATGGATGAGAAGTATGCATCGCACGACAAGCGTACTCTACTATAGGTTGAGGGTGTAATCCCCGTGGATCAACTTTTCGAATCAACCAAGTCGATACGAAGTTAGTAAAGCCAATGTATCGGAACACTAAATCGGGCTCGAGCAATTGGACTCGGAATGCAAGTTGATGAGCTTGAATTTTTGCAATCTCTAACTGGACATGCCTTTCAGAGTGCATGAAGATGAACGATTGACAGGTGATCGTACCTTGCAATGATTGAGGGTTTGCTCTGTCCTGGCTTGGAACGGTGTCTACTCCACTCCCAGGCATTACAAAATTATTCACGATAAAGACCTAGGTCCTACTCACCCCCATCCAGGACCTATCACCATTGATCATGTCGTGGTGACGTTGGAGGTCGTCTAGGTGCTTGCCAAAGTCCTCGTAGGTCTGGGCAGTCCGTAGGTACCCGTAATGAGCCATGGCATTGCAGAGATAGAAAATTTCAGAGATGAAGTTTGGCGGAGCAGCTGTGTAGAGGAAATCAGGTACAAGTACAAAGAGAAGATAACATTGACGAAACCTCCTTGTCTATGCTCTTCAGCCCATTGAGTGGCCTCCTCGCTCGTGGCCTTTATTCTGGTCTCCTCTTTCACGTCTATTCTTTCCGAGACTGCGAAATAAAGTGAATCTATACGGTCCATCTGCGCCGGTCTCAGCAGCAGTATCACTCCTTCACGGGAAAGCCAAACCTTCGAGTAGCGAGCATCCATGAACGGCTCTGCAAAACGAAGCAACACACTATGCAAGTTTATCATGAAACTGTCGGACGCTACTGTGTGAGGCTCGACCTAGGGCAGCATAAGAACTATACCAGCTGGAAATCTGAGATCATCCGCGCACCTGCATACCCGCACGTTTGACGTTAAGTCTGATAACGGTAGCAAAGTATTCGAGGACAGCTTCCCTAGCCTCCGGGGATGCCCTGACAATGGTATTGAATATCGAGAAGAGGGAAGACTATTCCAAGTTAGCTAGCTAGTAAACTGCATGCCACTTCACATACTTGCAAGCTCTTCACTGTCCCCCTCAAACTTGCGTAGGAAGACTCTATGTCACTTCGGGATCGCTTGCTCGGTTCGGAAAAATACGTTTCAGCAATGTAGGACTAATGAATTTCAGTCAGAGCAACCAGTTACGAACCCGATAGGAGCTCTTACCCATTCTCTACTGAAAACTCCAAGACGACACAAAGGACCCATCATGGACAGCATCTCGATCGACGCACCAGTGGCGTGTGGAGGATTCCATTCGGTAAGTCGGGTGAACATCACAGCTATACTCTTTATACTGACAAGGGCCTCGACACCACTGACAATAGCGCGCCAGGAAGAATCGCCTCCTCCAATACCTTCGGGTCGTACTAACGACTCATGGAATAATAGTTGGCGCGCCACTGGTCCAAGGACACTATCTATTTCGTTGTCTGGTTCAAACCGTTGGGCTAAATCCTGCAGAAAAGGTTCCACTTCTGTAGGGTTTAGCGCATTAACCGCTGGCGAAGTGGACGCAAGTGGGGAAGAGAGCGCGGATAGCGATAACAGCGGCCTGACCAGTTCGGATGGTCCAACATCTTGCCTATAGTAAATCATGGGTGACACCCAGGCCAACGGGTAAATTATTAAACATACCCTTGTGGCTGAGGGAACATCCCGGGATCCTGGAGATTCAAGCCAGCATAACTAATAACAAGATTGCGAATCTTTTCCAACAGCACGGATGCCTGCTGGATCTCCTTCACTGGGTTCTAAAAAACGATTGTATGAGATGTGCTGAATTTATGCGCTATAAACGTGGCACCAACCTTCCTCAAAAGTTCGTTTCTCGCCTTGTTCAATCGCTTCCAACAGCCGACCAAGTATCCGAATACAGTCATCTGATCAGGTAGTGATGCGAGAACAGGGACGTAGTCTAAGTCATCACTGGAACAGGTTAACATCTAATGAAAGTAAATGGAATTGACTTACGACATCGCATGAGGATCCAATTCCAAACGGGCAATGAGGAGGCGATCTAAGATTTCTCCTGACAAGCGCAGAGGAGGCGCTTGACCTGGAATCGCATAGTTAGCGGAAATCTCAACAGGAAAGAACACTTGCAGCGTACCGTATCCTTCCGAGAGCAGTTCAGATTCGAGGCTTTTGAGCCACACCAGATCATAATTACTTCGCTCTGCTGTAGAGCGCTATCCATCTTTCAGGAAGAACAATTTCTCCACGCAAAAAGACCACACTCACGTTCAGCGTGACCTTGAATATCTGCGTGATACTTTCGTCCTCCCATGACGCCAGATCGACCTTGTCCGCCGCAGACGGCGGTGCTTTCCTCTTTAAAGGTAACTGTGCCAGTTGCTGAGGCGCAGGAGGGAGGGAAGTTGTCAGAAGATGTCTAGGTTGTTTGACTGGAATAGCTTCCGTAGCTGTCACGGAAGGCGCTTGAGTTGGAGTGGATGCCGAGGAGGACGCTTCAGCCGATGCTGAAGATCGTCCGGCCTGTAATTTTGCCAGGCGTTTGGCACGAATCTGGGGTGCATAGAAATCAATTAGCAATATGAACAAGCCATTAGCCCATTTGCACATACGCGATCGGCATCGCTCTGAGGGTCGTTCATGACGATGGTCGCAGGGCACTTGCAGTGCAATGAATAATTCAGCCAAGATGTAATTGTGATCACGTGACAACTCTAATTAGCCTTGTGTTAGCAGAAAAGTTGTAGTTGGGAACTCTTCAGCGATGTTCCTGCAGCAACTACTGTTAACGGCGCGTTCATTTTCGACTACAGCTGTCTCAAATTTCCCAAAGCTCAAGTCGCATAGCGGGGCGAAGAAAAGATGGCGTGCCATCGCTAATGGGAAGTTCAAGAGAGTGAGTACCTCTCAGTTATGACTTTTTCAGATTGCTACATAAGTTATCAGGCTCATGCTGGACACGCTCACTTGAATGTCACGAAAAGACCTGGGCGTAAAAATCACCTTGGAGAGACTGCATACTCCAGCAATACACAATCGTCTATCTTGAAGAAGTTACTGCCGTACGGAAATTGAACAGATTCACTAGGTCGGTGGCCATGACTTCTGATGGAGGCTTTCATCTTAAGTGGCATCAGACTAGAGGTACATTTCGAATGCTGTAATCGACGTTCTGAACTGCGGAAAATTCTTGGAGATGTATCGGCACCCAGTCACGAGGGGTACAGTCGTTGGTAAAATTAGTTCCTCTCTAGCGTGACTTCATCCTCAGCATTGCTTTCACTACGCTCAAGAGCTTCGACAGGATCTTTAACTGCCTTTCCCCCGAAGAAGTCGCGAATTTTTTGCTGTTTTGGGTCGTAGGCTGAGCTACCGATTCCCCCTTTCTGGCGTTTCTGTGAGAACGGAGCTGAAGTTACTCGGGTCACCTCAATCTCAGCACATGAGGTTGTACGCACTACGGAGCTGATGTGCTCGTGACGGTTGAAATCCGTGACCTTGACCAGTAAGGGAGGGTCATCTTCATCAATACACACCACTTCTCCAGCGCGTTCACCCTAAACAATGATTGGAAAACTTTGCTATCCACGTAAGTTCAAACTTCACCTTGACCTGTACTGTCACCCGCGCCCAAGCTGTGTTCCTCAATCCGCGATAACTTGTATCTGGAGTCCCTTCGTGGTTTTGCTTGACGAGAGCAGCTACCATTTCACTGATACAGAGCCCATGGCTTACTAGAGCTATGTGATCGTCTTGGGATCCAATTCTGGCTGCCTGCAAGATGTGGTGAAGGAGGAGCTGACGAACAGCCTCATCTGCACGCGCGGCGAGGTCGTCCAAACTCTCCCCGCCTGGGAACTTCTGAGTCCGCTCGTATAGCACAGGGTATCTGCCATCTGCAAAGTGTTCCTCTAGCGTTCTACTGGGATCTTGTCGAATTAACCAAGGACTACCCTCTGCAGCACCAAAATGTTGCTCTTTCAGGAGAGGGGAGATAATAATCATGGGCTTTGGTTCAGGTTGGGCGTCACGCAAAGCTGTCGCTGTCATGTGTGCTCGCTTCAGAGGGGAAGTGTAGATTGTAGTCAGACGGGTATCGGTGAATGACTCTCCGAGCGCTCTGGCTTGCTACATAAGTAAGCGGTGTTAAGGTGCGGCTCGGCTCAACCGAAGATCGATCGACGGGTGCACTTACGTTCATTCCTGCACAGTATAATTAAAGGTTAGTTTCGATGACCCGATTCGACAGCTGTGACCACTGACCGTGATTGCTCAGTGGAGAGTCTGACCAACCAGCCCACACCGAGCGCTGCGCGGCTATGAGATGCCCGTATCACATTACATGGCTGATGGATGATGGACTTACCAAGTTGTCCATCGACTCTCCATGCCTAACCTGAAACGACAGTTTCAACGATGAACGAGCTAGTGCCAACGAACACTTACGAACGTGACGGTAATCATAGGTATTTAGTTAGCTGCCTCAGCTGTGAAGCTTGAAGACCCAATAAGCCATATCAGTAACCAGGTCCACTTACATAAGCTATTGATGACGTAAGGAAGGGGATGCTGTCCTCCCAACAGTGGTGGACGCGGGTCCAAGCCTTGGCCAGCATATATAAGAGGAGCGTCCCTTCTTCGTTCTCTTTATTCTTCGTGACCACTATAATGTCTGCCACCAACACCAATCCAGAACGCGACGCCCAACTGCTGGCCATCGGTCGCCAGTGTTCCGAAGCATCCTGCCTGCTGGTTGACTTCCTACCATTCAAATGTGACCTTTGCTCGGCCAGTTTCTGCGCAGAACACTTTGCCGTCGCAGCCCACAAGTGTCCAAAGTACGATGACCGCATACACAATCGTGTTGCACCTAACTGTAAGTGCACGTTTGAACCTTCCCAGGATGGTGTCTGATTTCCGAAGGCCCGCTCTGTAATACCCCCGTCGCTATACCCCCAGGGGAGGACCCAAACATCCGCATGGAGAGGCATATCAATAACGAATGTAGCGTCATGACTGGGAAAGCCAGAAGATCCAAGTCAACGCCCATCTGCGCGAGGGGCAAGTGTGGCAAAGTGCTTTTCGCACCCATCGCCTGCGACGTATGTTGTCTTCCCATCTTTCGAGCAACTAACTCCTCATACACCCCCTTCTAGACCTGCCACAAGCATTATTGCCCCCAACATCGGTTCCAGAAAGATCACGACTGTGTACCCGCCTTGTCCACCCATCCGTCGTCAACCATCCATCAGAACGTTCTTTCTGCGGCACTCAAGAGAATGAATGTTACACCCGCTTCGTCGAACAAGGTGACCCCTCCAAAGGCAACCTCTACTGCACAAGGCTCCGGTGCTGTACCTGTCCCGTCTTCCGGCAACGCGTCACCATTGCTCAGAAACCCACTCTCAAAGACCGATCGGTGAGTTAACTTCCCCTTTTGGTTTCCCAGTCAACACTCATAACGCCTTAGCGCTTCTGCTGTACCTGCCACGCCTAATCAATCATCACAACTCTTCTTGCCTACGTCAACATCAACGTGTGCGGCTAACCATATGTCCACTAATAACAATACTACTGTTAAACCCACATGGGATTTCCTGTCATTTGTACCACCACCCATCTTTTCCGCTGCTTGATGTATCCATACCCTGTATTGTATGACTAGGCGTGCCAAGGCGGAGAGAGAGAGTAGGCGGAAGGCGATGATGGAACGTGCCAAGAAAGGGGTATGTTGCCTTACCTCGTCGGTATCTGGTTTCGCGGTGGATGGGCTGACTGCGCGCTGCTTTAGCTTCTGACGGAGCAAGAGAAGCTTATCTTGGCCGCGGAGGAAGCAGAACGTGCGCAGGGAGTACGTTCATCGGACAGGGAGTGTATGGTCATGTAGCCATATTGGATTTTGTTCTACTATAGTGATCGATCCGACAGATTAATTTTTATGGACGAACGGACGATTGTGGTACAGATTTTGTTGGTGATAGTTGCCCCTGCATGTGTGTAGATGGAATTGAACGTGGCTCCCAGCAGACTGGGATACGTCATGGTAGTACTTTGGTATTGTCCCTCAACTGAGCCTTTACATTGACTCAGCCGGTATCATTGACGCTCTCACATCGGAGACGTACTACGGTAGGAAGTAGCTCAGTACAGCACATAATCGCAACAACACATAAAACTATTAACTAATGGCGGAGGTCAGAACAATTCAGTCACTACGGCTTCCCGAACGGGTGCGGCTTGTACTGACAGACATCGAAGAGCCTGCAGACACCGAGCGTTCACGACGACGTCCGCGAATACTAGGCGACCTCGAGACGTCGCGAGCGTCATCATCGCGATCGCTACTTGATGAGCGGTCGCGGGTCCTTTGCGGCGGGGAATCTGAGCGATCACGTCCACGATGTACGGAAGGCGACCGCGAACGGTAACGTCTCACAGGTGACTCGGATCGTTTATGAATCCGGTGAGGTGGCGTGGATACGGGTGAACGCCGACGAGGGGACCCCGAGCGAGACCGACGGTAACGACGTAGTGATGGCATTCGCTCCCTTGCCCGGTGATCCCCTTCTCTCGTGCGGTAGTCCCTTTCGTCTCCCTCCCTTGCCCGATAATCTCCTTCAACTCGCTCTCCCGTCCGATGGTCTCTTTCGTCTCGCTCTCTTGTCCGGTAATCCCTGTCATCTCGCTCTCGTCTCCTGTAACCCCTATCATCTCGGTCTCTCTCTCGATTATCTCTTTCTCGGCTCCTCTGCCGCTCCCGTTCCCGTGCGCGTTCCTGTTCTCTTTCGTGCTGTTCTCTCCTGATCCGATCTTCCTCTCTTCTCCTCCGCTTCTCCCTTTCCCTCTGTTCGGCTTGCCATTTTTCACGCTGTTCTTGCATCCTGGCACGATCTTCCTCTCGCTTCTTCTCCCGCTCCTCCCGCTCAGCCAACCGCCTTAACTTGTTTTCTTCCTGTTTTTCACGGTCGAAGGCGTCTCCTTCTACATAGTCTCTTTTTGTACCGAGCGCGCGTGCCATCCTGTCAAGTTCAGTCCTCTTCGCAGCAGCAATAGCATGCGTATCGGAAGGCTTCAAGTTTTTAACTGTGGTGGAAAGTGAAGCCAGATCTTCGTTGAGTTTTTCACGCAACTCTTGGACCTGCACTAAGATATCCGCTTCGTCCAAACTAGATAGAGGATAAGTAAGTTTTGTCACGTTGACGGAGGTACGTACCCATCATCTTCGAGTTTGAGCTGCAGCTCCAGACATTTTACCTCCACTTTACGTTTCCTCTCGTGTTCCAGGATGGCTGCATCCGGCTCTCTGTGTTTTGGTGGAGCTATATCCCATGCCGCAGCTCTGTCTGCTGGAGTCTGGTGCACGCGCAGCGCAGAGAGGTTGCGCTGAACATAACCGTTTGTACCGCTGTCGAAAACCTGTCAGTTTCCAATAGACGACCCAGTTTTCCTATTTGCTACGCACCTTCCACGAGGAGTGGTGAGGCCGATTCCGTTGTACATGGCTGCTGTTGGAGTACCACAGATCGGACTCTGAAATCGAAACCGGTGAGCTTATGCAATCACGAAGAAATTCCTAGATCACGTGACTCGCTGTAGGCCACCGTTGCAGCCAACTCCACGGCCAGGACTTATATCGACCATGTCGGATGCTTCACAGGACGACAGTTCGGTTCTCGGAAAACGCGAACGCGACGAGGATGAACAGAACGGAATGTCCGACGAAATTGGACCCCCGCCTGCCGACGTGAACCAAGATGAAAGTGATGAAGATGTCGGCCCAATGCCTATGCCTGCTGGTGCGCCGGGAACTACGAAAAAGAAGCGCAAAGGTACGCGCTTCGTATATGTTATTGGCGTTTTACCATATGGCGCGTGTGTTTATAGTTCTGCCGCACGAGAGAGTCTACCTGGAGCATCTCCCGAGTGCCGATCAGTACTACAAGAGTTTCATGCACCGGGATGCGCTCAACTTCTGCGTCATGACCAAGTGGGTGGGGCGGTCGCCAGTCGCATACACTACCATTCTTACTATTCCCCAGGACAGGCTTCTTGATCACCACCTCCGTCGACGGACACTTGAAGCTGTGGAAGAAACAGGACACCGGTATCGAGTTTGTGAAGCATTTCCGCGCTCACTCTTCACCGATTGTGGGTGTTTCTGCTAGTGCGGATGGGCAATTGTTTGCCAGCATCTCAGAGGATGGCTCAGCGAAAGTGTTTGACGTGATGAACTTCGGTACGTGTGCGATACGCCAAATCTTTGCGATACATAACTGAAAGGATGCAGACATGATCAACATGTTTAACCTGGACTACAGGCCCGTCGCATGTTGTTATGTCCACAAACGAGGGCAAGCTCAGGGTTTGTTGGCAATGTAGGTCAGTCTGATTCGCCCGAGAATGCGAGTCTTACAGGCGTAGCTCCGACCAGGGCAGCGGGACTATTCGAATATATGACGCTAGAGGAGATGGAAAGCCTCTCGCGGTCGTTGACAAACTACATCGATATCCCGTGCATCTCATGGCTGTGAGACCCTCGCGAAGTGCAGTCGTGATTCCTCACTGAAAAGTGTTGTGTGCAGTACAGCGACCGCTTTGATACAGTCATTTCCGCCGATGAAAATGGGTTTGTCGAATTTTGGGAGCCGACGGAACCTTTCGAACTACCCAAAAAGGTCCCAGGCATGTGGAAGTACAAGAGCACGACGGACCTGTATGAGTTCAAAAAGGTTCGTTGATTCTTAGCTAAGTGGCCGAACCAGACTCACTTCGGAATAGACGAAGTCGGTACCGACCTGCATTACACTTTCCCCTGACTCTTCCTCATTCGTTACGTTCTCCCTTCCTGACCGTTTCATCCGAATATTTTCCTTTATCACCGGAAAAATGACACGCAAGTATGATGAATCTCTGACTGCAATACAAGAGATGCAACAGGCTGGAACGACGGCTTACAGAGTAGACGATATGGAGTTCGGGAGACGACTTGCCCTGGAACGCGAGTTAGAACTACCTGAAGCAGATGGACGCATACCAGCCATGTGGAGCAATGCTATCTGGGATGAGAGTGGGGCTTTTGTCATTTATCCGACACTACTCGGCATAAAAGGTCGGTATTATGTCTTTCTGACGCCGTTGCTCTCATGCTCTTGTATAGTGGTTAATACCGTAACTAACAAGGTCGTACGACTGATGGGTAAAGACGAAGCGGTGCGGTTTATGAACCTCGCTTTGTATCAAGGTGCTCCTGCGAAGAAAGGTTTCACGACCCTGGTAGGTCCTGAGCAACTCTGCTAAGACGTAGTATCAACATGTTACTTCTGTAGGCCATGGCTGCTTCCGCGAATCCTATCCTTGCGAACAAGGAAGCACGCGATCCGACGCTTTTTTGCACAGGGTACAAGAAGCAGCGCTTTTTCTTGTTCACTCGTTCTGAACCAGAGTAGGCGGATAAGAATCCTCCCTGCGACAATCATCCTGATCCCCCTCTTTCATTATCCAGGGATAGCAAAGTTTCGGACCGTGACGTCTTCAACGAGAAACCAACCAGAGAAGAGCAGAGTATTGCTACCGCAACTATCACAAACAAAGGCGGGCCTTCTCCACTCGCAAGTTCTGCCGTCATCCACACGACCGTTGGCGATATCCATATTCGCTTGTTTCCAAAGCAAGCACCAAAAGCGGTGGAGAATTTTGTCGGGCATGCAAGGAGTGGCTATTTCGAAGGTGTCATATTCCACCGCGTGATTGCCAAGTTCATGATTCAAACCGGCGACCCATTGGGGGATGGAACTGGCGGCACGTCAATCTGGGGAAGGGACTTCGAGGATGAGTTTTCCGACGACCTAAGACATGATCGGTGGGTGTTATCGACGTTGTGGTATATATGCATCCCTCACTCGTATGTAGGCCGTACACAGTTAGCATGGCAAATGCAGGACCAAATACCAACGGTTCGCAGTTTTTCATCACGACTACCGCTACACCATGGCTGGACAAGAAGCACTCCATCTTTGGGCGGGTCTTCTCAGGGTTGGAGGTTGTCCATGCAATTGAGAACGTTAAAGTGAACAAGATGGACAAGCCACTAGAGGATATCAAGATTGTTAACATTGATGTAGATTAGCTCTTACGGTACATACATGATGTGCTGCCCGTGACATCCCAATATCACGTTCTCGTATCTATTTCGCTATCTTTCAAAGTGCCACCCGGTCGAGCTTCTCCGTGTAATGCCTGATAGATACACTCTCCCCAATATTCTCGAGCCGAAATCCGAATTTATGCTTCAGCAACAAGAGCAGACACGAAGGTGAGAGCGAGGAATCCTTTTCCCCGACCCTTCGTGGACATGAAAATTTGATGAAGACGAATTCAGACGTGACAGGTGTCGAGGAAAAGTCCCTGGAAGGATTATCGACCGCGACTTCATAGACATCCAGGGGCTCTCCGTCCAGAAAGGTGCTTTGATGTACTGATACGGGAACGTAGGCTACTGGATAGTCGAGGAGGACTCCTGCGAGGGGAATAAGGGACTCCTGCGTTAAGTCGTCCGGCAAGGAGTATGACAGTCCTCCATGTCGCAGTATCTCGCAGTTCCAGTTCAAGAGAATATCTCTCAGACCGTCTGGCTCCGACAGAGACTTTCAAAAGCATGCATCATCAAGCGCCTCGAAGCAACTGGGAAAACTTCAATTAGATGACACTTACCACTGTCAAATTTTGATCCAAGAGGACGAACGAAGGGAAGTTGAGCAGTGTGTACTCAAGCAGAACCGTTCTTCGGACGAAAAAGGTCTGCATGTGCATGGGAACACTCAACAAGAACACGTCCCCGAAAAGCTGGCTCTAGTAGACGAAGGCAATAATGCACACACTGTTTGACCAGTTCGGCTGTCAAGGGTGGGGGGCGTACCTTTAAGCGAAGACTCTTTAGCAAAGAGGTGAAAACAGACACTGGATCTGGAGGAGTAAGAGCATCGACCAAGTACGCAGTTCTGCACCACATGGCATCATTGTAGTTTTGGAACTCACATTCCAATGAAAAATTTTACATGTATGAGAATGATGGACTCACCGAACACCCAAAGCAACCAAGCAGATATCCATGGAAAACTGGAGTAGCTTCGTGTGGGGAGCTGAGCGTAAAGCTGATATCTTGCTGACTTCCCCCTTGACGAGCTCGACCAACATTTCATACCGTAGTCGATTACTGTGAAGCTGATCATGAGTGGTCATATTTGAATATTTCTTTAGATCTTGGACAGATTGGTGTGCAAGGTTAGTTATGAAAAAGGCTCGCGTATCGCTGGTAAACCAGTAGGATAGTTTGATTTTCCAGTAGTTACAATTGCTCCGGTTGTGTCACGGTAGTGCCCCTTCTTTCTGCCATGAATGCCGGAACAACCTTTACGATTACAGTCAAGATTACAGTGACAATTATTGTTGGCACAGTCTGTCAGAGGTATGCTCAAAACTCCGATTTACATAACATAATGGAACAGCCTCTTTAGCTTCACTGCATCAGAATGGAAGCAAATGTTCAGAGCCTTCACTCTCTGTTATGGCCGCACTAGCTCCGAGCGGCCCACAAAATGCTGAAGCCGGACGGGCATATATAAGTGGGTCCCGTTCATGGCGTATTGATCAGGGTTTCTCGTCGGAATGAGGTTTGTCTGCTTCCTCTCCGTCATGTCCGTCTTTCCCGTCTTGATCACCGGTGCGCCCGTCGGATTTGGGCGTGTAATTCCGGTCTATGTCTTTCATGGCGCAGCCCAAAGTAGGCGTGCAACCACTACCGTCCAATTTACAAATCCAATTGTTCCCTGCACCCAGGTCCAGCATACAGGACTGCAGCCGGTAACCCTGTCGTCCAAACTCGTAAGTGCCCACCTGTTGAGTAACATTGACCTGTTGGCATAACGTCCCCATTAGCTGATGTCCTCGCCATCAATGCCGGGGATTTTAACGGGCCATCGCTCGAAAGTATAGTCAGGAGTGTTAAGCCAGTCCGTGAGTGCGTTCGACAGTGTGTATTAGCTCTCGATTCATGCCGTGTATGACACTGCCAGGATACTTGACAAACGCGTATACCGAGGTCACCGTTTACGTCCAACAACTCGTCAACACCGCCGACTAGGTCTTGCATGGGAGGTGTACTTCTAGTGATTCTGGATATTTCATCAAAGTGCATGTATAGATTATCGTGTTGTCATTCTTTTATCCCGTCCAGTCGTTAGTACCCGATACCCGTCGTTGTCTTTTGCATACCGAAACATGACCAGAACCTGCGTTGGATCTAAAGTGCTTTTAAAATACATGTGCTGTCAGGGATCTGTGAAACAAAGACCACGGAGTCATTACTTCATGCGCCGGGAGCTCGATACTGCAGATTCTCTAGTTCTGTCACATCTTTGTCCGCCTTCTGGATCCACCCATGGACCACGTATATGGCGCAGGTCATAACTGCTGAGATGCACCACCATGCAGTGGTTTGCCAGGCTTTACCCGTGTATACGGTCACGATGGGACAAATCGCAGACCATGCGAATGTTTCCGCGAACCCGATAGGGCGGACTGCCCATCCGGCGATGACGACGTGGCGCGGATGAACTAGGAGGCTAAGATTGACATGGGTGAGGATCGCGATGTAGGTAAGGATGCCAGAGAAAGGGACGGGCGCGTTTGAGGCCTGATCATGAGACGATGGAGGGAAAATGGCGAATAAGGGGCTTCGTCGGTCAGAGAACCAATATATGAGATGCCTGCAAGGAGAAGATGGTTTGAATCAACATGTACTGGCTTTCGTTTCAAGAAAAGACGCACAGGACAGCGGATAGGGCTAACACCACTTGCAAGGCTTTTCGGTTATGCTCGTTGGAGGCAGCATTATGGACCTTGATCTCCTCAACAAGCTGAGCCTGCTCTGCATTGCGGTGATTACGATGATGGACAAACAGGAATCGGAAACGTCAGTTACCCTGCTCATCCAGGACTACTTGATCGTCCCGGCCGTCTTCTGATTTGAATGCGAAGGGAACTCTTTTGCGGACAGCCTGCATGTTCGACCCGATGAGTGACACTGAGTCTGTGAGTGCGTCGAGGGAGTAACTGCAAAAGAGACCCGTAACCCAGTGCCCTACGCTTGTCGGAATATTCACGGAAACATGCCTTGAACACGATGTTGCATTCAACCTAGTAGTGCCAATCAACACTCGTATTTCTGGTGGTCTCATTTCACTCTGTGACAGGCACCAGTCCTGTTTGATTAGATAGCAGAGTCTAAACTTCATACATGTCTACCGACAACCCACTCAGTCTTACACGGGATCAATTCAATGGCACCCTCGACCAAGACAATACTCGCAATGGTGGCCACTACGTTGACGATGCCGACCAATGGTCGAGCTCTACAGATGAAGACGTCGACGACGAACTCAGCGACGATGATTTCGAGGACAGCAGGGTAGAAGACGAAGACTGGGAGATCGCTGAGCGAGGCATGCACCGCAGACCGTCTCTTGCATCATGGATGTGCATTGACCAAGGTTTTTAGATTTTACGAAACAATACAATCGCTTGCGTCAGCACGTCGCTGTCCGTACGGGCAATGCCCAGGGTACTCACTCATCCATCAACCAAAACGTGGCCGTAGCTTCCCTCCCAGCGGTGAATCAGCCGCGAGCCGCCGGTGCGACAGCCCCGGCCCACGCAAAGGATAAAACTACGGGACAGTTGGCGTCGCTCTTGAAGTACACCTCCAGGATAGCCAAGATTGACCAGCCGTACGTCTTAGGCGTGGGTGTTAACAGGAAGGGCCCGAGCTCGTATGCCAACTTGAAGGATAAATCTGATCGAGCTACCTCGGAACTCGTGTTGGACCCTCGCACACGACTGGTTCTATTCAAGATGATTGGTCGTGGGTTGATTCAAGAAGTCAACGGATGTGTCAGTACAGGGAAAGAGGTGGGTCCCTGTCAGTCGTTCCGCACTATTTTTCCAAGTGATCTTGATGGATTGCATTCACAGGCCAACGTTTATCATGCGTTGACCCCTGACAACCAACATCTAGCACTCAAAATATACAAGACATCCATCCTTGTCTTCAAGGATCGGGACCGATACGTCACCGGCGAGCACAGATTCAGACACGGTTACAGCCGTAATCCTCGCAAGATGGTGCGTCTGTGGGCGGAAAAAGAGATGCGGAACCTGAAACGATTGGTCGCTGCGGGCATCTATTGCCCTGATCCTGTCGAAGTCAAGGAGAACGTCCTGGTGATGAAGTTCCTTGGCGATAAAGAGGGGTGGTATGCATCATTAACCCTACCGGTTCCGACCTCTGGGGTTTTTCTGACATCCGTCATCCCTTTTCAGGGCCTCTCCGCGACTGAAGGACGCCGAGATACCATCCTCCGATTATCCTTCCTTGTATCAAGAACTGGTCCTCAACATGCGCCGCATGTACCACCAGTGCAAACTCGTCCATGCCGATCTGTCAGAGTACAACATCATCTATCACGACTCACATCTTTACATCATTGATGTCTCCCAGAGCGTCGAGCACGACCATCCTGCCGCTTATGATTTCCTTAGGAAGGACATCAAAAACGTCGAAGAATATTTCGGGCGGTTCGGCGTGACGGGTCTCGGCATTCGACGCTGTTTTGATTTCATCACCCGTGAAGTGTTCGGTGAAGATAGCGGCACACTGGACGAGCGCGAGATTCTCGTGCAATGCATATCAGAGGTACAGCAAGCACCGCAACCACAGGAACAGCAGCCATCGGGCGAAGAAAACGATAGCGCGAAAGTGCCAACCAAAGATGTTGATGATGAACACGATGCTGCGCATCAAGATCATGAAGAGAATGTGTTCTTACGGTCCTACATCCCGCGGACGCTCAATGAGGTGTACGATCCGGAACGCGATATTGACGCTCTCAAACAAGGCAAAGGGCTTATCTACAGGGACACAATCGGTCTGGTGGACCCTGCAGCTGCTTCTCAGCAGCGGAAACCCGAAAATGGTGGACATCATCAGCATCAGCATCAGCACGTACATTTTGATGATCGTGACGAACAAAATGAAGAACGGCCCGACCGTTCTTCAGATATGGAGAGTGATGATGATAGTGATGGGTCCAGTACGGCCGGTGAGGAAGATCTCGAAGGCGAGCGCGAGGGTGATGGTGAAGTTGAGAAGGATAACCTACGTAAAGTTCCACGGGGTCACAGGCACGAGGACCGAGAAGCCAAGAAGGTATGTATTTATGGTTTCTTTCGAAACCCTGCACTTGTACTGGATGACTCACACTTACGAACACAGGAACGCAAAAAAGCTGTAAAAGCCGAGGCAAGGGAAAAGAGAAAGAACAAAATACCTAAAGCAGAGAAAAAACGCAGGATCAAGGTCACACAACGTTCACGATAATGAACGTGCGACGCTCCCCCAGTACTGCTTCGATTTCGTACACGCAATTGCAGGGTGTGGTATCGCTTGTCATAAAAATGAATATGTATATGTGCACACTTTTTTTAGGTATCCGGTGCGTGCGGGTCGTGCTTCTTATGCATCGGTGATACACCCGTGGCTGGCATCCGTCACGGTCTTCACATATCTCATGAGGGTACCCTGGGTAACTTTCAAAGGAGGGGCTTTCCATGCTTTTCTACGGCGTTCCATCTCCTCCGGAGTGATGTGAAGCTCAATAGTGTTGGATACGGCATCGACAGATATAATGTCGCCGTCCTCTACCAGAGCAATGGCTCCTCCCTCCTGAGCCTCGGGAACAACATGTCCGATGCAGAAACCATGCGATCTACGAACGGCATTAATCAGTTAACTGTATGAGAACACAACCTCCCCGATTTGAGCAGAACAAACACACGCACCCTCCGCTGAACCGACCATCAGTCAAGCAGGCAACGTCTTTTCCTAAACCAGCGCCCATAATGAGACTGGTTGGTTTGAGCATCTCACGCATTCCAGGCCCGCCTTTAGGGCCAAGATACCGCAGGACGACCACGGTTTTCTCGCCCTTCTTGATGGAACCGGACTCCACAGCTGGGACGAACTCTTCTTCCGAGTTGAAGACCCGTGCCGTTCCCGTAAAGTTAAGACCTTCTTTTCCCGTAATCTTCGCGACAGCCCCCCCAGGTGCCAGGTTACCGCGCAGAATTCTATCGACCAATCAACCACGGGGGTGAGCCCTATCAACACAGCACTTACCGGATATGTCCAGACGTTTTGATTGGGTTGTCGAGCGGGCGAATAACGTCCTGGTTTGGAGAAAGTTCACCGTGCTTGTGTACCCAGCGCTCAAGGTTCTCTCCGAGCGGAAGGCCCGTGACGGTCATGTTGTTCCCGTCTATACGGTTATTCTTCATCAAGTAATGTAGGACCTCTGAAGCGGGTCAAATAAGCCATCCTTGTCCGCCCATAAATGTCACATGTTTCAACTACTCACTGGGAATGCCGCCAAGTTTGTATACGTCTTCCATAACGTATTTACCGCTCGGCTTGAGGTCTGCCAAGAACGGCGTTGCCTCCGAAACACGGGCAAAGTCATCCAGTGTGAGGGTGATACCAACCGAGTGTGCCATCGCAATCAAGTGGAGTACTGCATTTGTCGAGCCTCCAAGTGCCATGACCAAGACCTGTGTCATTTTCAGCGCGTCAATCGGCGATAAATTATTATTTATTAAAGTGACAATAACTGGTGGTCACGCGCAGACGTACCATCGCATTCTCGAAGGCAGTACGAGTCATGATATCTCTCGGTAAAATGTTTTTCTCGACAAGGTTCCGCATGGCAGCACCGACAGTTTTGCATTCTTCGATTTTCTCCGGTGATTCAGCGGGGAAAGATGACGAGCCCGGGAGCGACATCCCAAGTGCTTCTATGGCACTGGCCATCGTATTTGCAGTGTACATCTAGCCATTTAATTTGTCAATATGCGTCTTCACGGAGATTCCTTGGATTAAAAGCACGTACACCGCCACATGCGCCAGGCCCGGGACAGGCGTGTCGCACCGTGTTGTACCGAAATGCTTCTGCGTCTGGAGTCTTACCGTCCTGGATATATTTCCCATAAGACTGGAAGGCGGAAACAATATCCAATTGTGGTTGCCCTTCACAAGACCCTGGACGTATAGTACCTCCATAAACCATCAGGCCCGGCCTGTTCAGGCGTCCAACTGCGAGGCTTTTTGATGAGATATGAAGGTGGATTACTTCCATACCGGGGGCAACTTACGAGCCATGATAACCCCTGGCATATTTTTATCACAGCCTGGCACGACGACCATACCATCGAGCCAGTGACCCGCTGCGGCGGTCTCCACTTGGTCGGCGATGAGATCGCGCGACTGGAGAGAATAATTCATCGCTGACGTTCCGTTGCTCATACCGTCGCTCACGCCGACCGTGCCGAACTGGTATCCGATCATTCCGGCTTGGTAGATGGAGGCTTTGATTTCTTTGCCAAGTTCTAGGAGGTGGCGGTTGCATCTGTGGGGGGGTGCGGATTTAATTATTCGGTGTATGTATGTATGCCCCCTCGGAGTTGCTTACGGATTGCCTTCGTACCTGCGCACGCACACACCCGCTACGCATCAAGCGATTTGGACGACACGTGGAACTTACTTACCACACGCTTCCAACACCAATCATAGCTCTTTGAAAGTCATCGTCACTCTTAATACCCTCCGTAGCATACAGCATGGCCTGAGGAAGGTTTTAGTACAAACCTACATACACAACCTCCGGCTGTTCGAGTAAAACGGAGTGCGCTGATTTACCTGTCCTGCTCCCTGGTCTTTAGGCTGCGTAATCGTCCGGCTGTAGCGGTTCATGATAGGTTTTTTGGTTTCGTCCCATGTTGTGCTGGACGAACGGAACGACCGCGACAATGTACATTTTGCGAGGTGAGAGCATGCACACGCTCTGGACGTAGTAGCTGTGAATCTCGACTGTAGCATCGCTGTCGCTTCTCTGTGACTACGAGCAGCGACAATTCGAGTCAGAACGAACCACCGGGTGCCAACTCAGAAAGAAGGACTCGAAAAGAAAAATCCGCGTCTTGGAATAAATTGCTTAGCTAAGCAGCCCCTGACTTGGTCTGTTCTTGATGGCAAATTCCATAAATGGTAGTACCCCTCTTCGGCGAGTCAGCATCAAATGGCAAGCAGAGTATTAGTCAAGCAGTCCAGAAGGCCCACGATTTGGGCTTTCTCTGTGAGAGAAAAAGTCCGAGCGCAGCTTCCACTCAATTTGACTTTTGAAAATTTCACGTTGACTACCCATGGAACTTTTATTTAACCCACACCGTGGTCAGATTCCACCCGTGGAGAAACTTGGCACTATTATTGGTGGCTGTCAGGGGCCCATGCATTGCTATGTAGTATACAGTCACGCCAGCGGAAATTCGATGGCAGCGTGCCCTCCGAATTGGAAATTCGGACGGATCGTAGGACGGATGAGTTGGCGCGTGAACTCCATCTCCGATTGTCCCCGCCGCCACCGCCGCCGCCACCAATTGAGCCTAGACCGTATCTCCCTCTTTCGATATGTGTTTGACCACAGTAACTTTTGCCAATGCTGTTCGTTCGCCGCGCTGTGGGGGTATGGTGCATACCTGGCTCCACTTTCTAACTTGATCTGTCAACAAATTAGACTTTGGCGTGACTACTATTACCGATGGACAGGAACCTTTCCAGACATATTTGGAAGTTCGAATCGCGAGGGGTCAAAAAATAATCAGATTTTGCAACCGTGTCGATCATAATGTCTCACTTTTTATATATGACCAATCCTGATCTCGGCGGTTGGGGCTGCTATGGGCCCCGGATCAATTCTTGCTTGGACGAAGTGACAAAGCCTTCCACTTGCTGACAAGGGGGGGAACCAAGGGGTTTAGGAGGCGAGACAATAATGGGGGAGGGCCCCAGCGGCGCTGGTAACTACGGGCGTGATTGCAAGAGAGTCGTTGGCAGGTGTTGTTGAGTCAGCACCCGCGAAAGGGTGTGGCTGCAAATTATATCACCAAAGGGGATGAAAAGGGGACGACATACTTCAAACTTGCAATTTCAAAAGGGACGAGCACAAAATTTTCTGGGAGGGGCGGGGCTTTCGGATTGTTAACAGTTTGTGCATGATGGCATGACCTTTTGCCGCGCGAGATTCACGACCACGGCGTGCCATATCTCGCAGGTGATATCAAAGTCGGTATAGTGACCGGTACACATTGTTTGTCGTGTCGGTCAACCCGGAACTTATCTTTTGCTTAAGCCGATGGGATAGCGGATGGTCAAACCCATCCCAGCGGGATTTTCACGTTTCCGTACGTCGTCTTCCTCGCTCACAGCCATCATTCCCAACGACCGCCTCGTCCAGCTCGTCCAGTGTGTCCTTGTAGAGAAGACAGCCATTTCATCACACGAACGAGGCGCACGTATATGCAACAACTCGACCAGAATTCACGTCATTATTGTATGCCCCGCGCGAAGGAAGACATCGACACACCCACCCATAGTAACTGCTCGCCGACCAGTGGATCACCACATCATCATAATCATCATATTATCGTCCCGTTTTCAATAATCTAGCCGTAGTCCCACCTGAATGGCTAACTCCGGTCAAGGAAAATACTCGCTCCCAGAAGAGCTGCATCGATATGTTTTGGAGCAGCCGCGAGATACGGTGGTGGCACCAGAGAGATCGATATCTTCGTCCTCCGAGGTTGGACCATCATCGTCGCATGCATTTGAGCGACAACAACAGCGTTTCTCATATTCGCCTGCCCCCAATCCGATGGCGTCACTGACGACGCCGGCCATCTTTCCCAGCGATGAGGATGGTGGTGACAGAGCATTGTCACCGCTGGACTCTGGAACACCGGGAGAAGACGACGAGTCGGGCTCGTATTCAACATCGTTCTCACGAGAGGCGATTGGGGAAGATATTGGCGCGTCTTCAGTCGTCCCCCAGGTAGCGATGACAAGAAATTTGTCTAGAGGTGAGATGGGGTATGGCCACCTAGCACAGCATTCATATACGATCCCCCCACCCGTTCCCCCGCCTTACCCACTGCCTGGTGTACCAGGATGGAGGCCGCCGGGAGAGGCACACCTGGCGCCCTGGCCAGCACATGGGGGAAGAGAATCGTACCGCGGGCTGGAGCAACGTGTAGAGGGAGGAGAGCGGTATGAATTAACGACAGGAGGGAGTCGGGGGTACGAGATGGCTCGGTACGAGGCTGGTTTAATTTGAATGGTATCTGGACGTACCTGAACGAGGAGATCTCTATAGATCTGGATATTTCTCGAGGACTTACGAGGAGAACAGAAGGTCGATGGCAGGGTCATCTCACCAAGGTAAGCATGGGAGAGACAAAAAAAAACCGGTGTAAGGATTGGAAAAGGTTTACAAGGTACAACACAGTGTACGAAGAAGGGGATACGATGCGACCACCGCCGCACTATCCAGACTCGCACTATGGGAGGGCTTACGGGGGGGCAATCCCTAGGGAAGAAGAACGGAGCAGGGGTCCTACTTCTTCGGGCAGTACGTGGATTGCCGGGCGTGGGGGTGACGTTGCAGCATCAGCAGGCAAGGTGGTTCTTCCACCTGTGAGCCAGCTACTAGGAGAGATTGGAGCGAGGGGGTCGCAAGAGTATGATGTTCCGTCGTTGCCAAGACTACGTGTCCCCGAGCAGCTCGGGGAGATCAGTGTGCCAACAGGAAGAGATAGGGACCGACCGGAAGAGAGGGGACGGCCTGGGGAGGAGGCTGGGGCTGCGTCATCGAGCGCCAGATCGAGAGGGCGGGGGAAGAAACGACAGTCGGAGGTGTCGATGGGAGAGACAGAAGAGGAGCAGGGCAAGAAGACCAAGGTGGTGCGCAAGATCTACGTCGCGTGTGATTTCTGCAGAGGTGAGAGACACTGTTCGATAATATTTTTGCCGATTGCGCTGAAGTGGCCGGGCAGGACGCAAGCTGCGATGTGATGGGACCAAGCCGAGCTGTTCGAACTGTGCTACGCGGTCGCTGGAGTGCAAGTACCAGGACCACCCGCGGCGGCGTGGGCCGGGGAAGGCGCCGAAGGGGTCACGGAAGAAGGAGGGAAAAGGAAAGAAGGCCTCGGAGGGCGGCGAGGCTAATATTATTACTGGCCAGTACGAGTTGAGCGCGGGGTCGTCGTCTCGGGCCGAGTCGAGGGACGACCCGCCGTGAGCTGGATATGGGAATGGTCTCGCACGGAGACAGGACCCCGATCGCTAAGATAAAATAATAATAATAATAATAATAATAACGGATGATGCACACATCCGATTGGCTCGGTTTCTGGCGCTCGGCTCCGTTCCCGTTGCCCTCTGTTAGCTATTATTTTGTGGAATATCGGTGTTTATCTGCCAGCCAGCCTGGTCTGGTCTGGTCCTCCCCGCGCTTGCCTCACCTCACCACCCCTTCTCTCCTCTCCTCTCCTCCTCGCCGGGACTGTCATGCCGCTCGCCGTCCCCGGCGACGACCATCGCAGACGCTCGTCGTCCCTCTCCTCCGTCGCCCGAATGCTCTCCCACTACCCCCCGTCCCATCCCCCGCCCTCCGCCGCCAACGGCCTGCGCCCCGGAGCATCTCATCCCTACAGAGGATACACCCTGATGGTCGCCGGCCAACGCTCCGGAAAGACGTCCTTCCTCCGTCTCCTCCTCGACACCAGCGACATCTCCACAACAGCCACAAAGGATCAGCTTGTCTCCGTCGCAAAGTTCGTCCAGGGATGCAGCGGACACACCGCCCACGTCCGCTCCGTCAACGTCAACATCGACTTCGACCCCGGAAATAACACTACCAGTAGTAGTAACAGCAACCCGCAGGTGCTCGCACTCACCCTCATCGACACCCCCTCTCTCGACTTCTCCGACGACCACTCCGTCGAGCGCACAATCCAGGACATCCTCAGACAGGTCGACGCCCGCTTCGCCGAAGGCATCGACGACGTAAGCCAGTCCCGCCCCTCCCCCCTCGTCCACTCCGCTCATATACATACCCTCTTTATCTCACAGGAGTGGAAGGCCCAGACCGGTGACCATCACATCCATTTGTGCGTTCCCCCAAGGCGCGCTTCATTCAGTCGTCCCTCTCACTCCAGTTAATACAGGTGCATCTACTTTCTGGATCCCGACGTGATCATCCCCCCTCCCTCCTGTGTGCCAGGGCCTCCCGCCCCCCTTCTCTCCCGCGCTCGCACAAACAGCTTCTCACACACCGACTCCGAACCCGTCATCCTGGAACCACCCGTCACTACAAACCCCCTCCTGTGTCGTCCCACCCTTCCCTCCGCGGAAATAAACACTATCAGGAGGTTGTCTGCCAGAGTCAACGTGCTCCCCGTCATAGCACGCGCGGACACGTTGACCAACGACCGTCTCCTTGCCGTCAAGACCGCCATACGCCGAGATCTCGCAGAAGCCGGCATCGGTTTTGGAATCTTCGATATGGACATGCACCCGCAGTATCAGCACCGTAAAGACGTGGCCGAGTCTGGACACCCTGTCAAAAGTGAAATCCCAAATGGCTATCCCTCCCGGACTAATAGATCTTCTCCCGCTCATCCGTCCCCCCCTATTTCTCCTACCGCCCCCTCATACTTACGCTTGCCTTATGCTCTCATTTCCCCTGAATGCTATTCTCACAGCGATGGCGTCGCAAGGGTATCCCCCCCTCGCCACGAACTCGTTCAGCAATACACTCCCTCTCCACACTATCCTACCCCCTCCAAACTCATCCATGGAAAATTTATTAGGAGCTATCGCTGGGGATCTATGGACGTACTAGATCCGAACCAATGCGATTTCATGTCTCTCCGCTGTGCTATGTTTCATCACATGGAAGTATGTACCCCGTTTTATTTGTTCCCCGTCGTAACCGATTTCCTGACAACAACAACAACCCCCTCTCAAGACCCTGCAGAAGTATACCCGCGAATATCTTTTTGAAAAATTCAGAGCCGAATATCTCGCCCAGCACCACCCACCCAATCACCTCCTTCACACACAATCAAACATCGTTCCGCGCTCCCAGCTTCCCCTCAATCATCCCTTACGACCTGCATTGAGCATCGAGACCTCTCCACCCAGTCATGGCGGGGCTGCTGTCTGCCATACATCCCTATCAATATCTCGTGACGGTGTCCCACCAGGGACGGATATGCGCCCCCTGCCAATTTCAAGACCCTTGTCTGACGGCATAAATTCTTCCCACAATAACGTCAAAGTGGCCCCGAGTAAGTTTCTCCCACCATCGGCTTGACAACAATCTTTTACATACATAAAAACGTCGTCGTCACATCATCATTATCTTTAGGGTCCTCCAAACAGCGCACGAAGAAGATTACTGTTGCATGCAACTTTTGTCGTTGTGAGTAGCCAAAGAATCGTGGCAAATTGGTTGATGCAACGACATATTCATATTCCACACACAGCTCGTAAACTAAAATGCGACGGTGGTCGACCGGCGTGTAGTCAATGTGTCAAACGATCTAACTCGTGCGACTACATGCCACAAAACAGCAAACGTCGGAATTCTCACCGTCGCAAGGAAGACGAGTCCGAATCCGATATCAGCGGCGGCGACGACAGATCCGTCGATGAAAATGATCCCTCGGTGACACCCCCCGAGATGGCTTCTTCTCAGCCCCTGTCCCGCAAGAGCTCCAACGCTGACAAGCGTCCCATACTCGATGGTTTCGCACAGCCCCATGCTGCCGCAGGGCCCTCGGAGCCGCGTGAATTGCTGCCAGCAATCGCTCCTATCGTTCGCCCCAAACCTAGCGTACTTGGAGGCTCGTCCGTATCAGAGGGACGCTCCCTCTTCAAAGACAACGAATTGCCGCATATCGCCACGTTGTCCCTCCCCGACAGATCCCCTACAACAGCGGCCGCCGCGATGACGGCGCAACCATTGCCTCTCATCCGGCCAGCCTCGGAACAGCAGGCTGCGCAGAGGAAACGTGCATCTACCATGCCTGGGAGGAGCAGTCGGCAGGCCACTAGCGCCGGACCGAAAGTGGTGGCATGCAACTTCTGCAGGGGTAAGTTCCTGTTCTCATCCTCGATCGCCATGCAAGTTCGACGCATGCTGACGAGTGTGACGATGTACATAATATAGCGCGTAAGACCAAGTGTGATGGTGCACAGCCAGCGTGCTCGAGCTGCGCCCGGAGGCAGCTTCCGTGTGATTATAATCATAGCACCGGTCATAACGGGGGAAATAAGAAGGGTGCTCGACGCGCTTCGATATCATCAAAAATCATGCAGGCTGTTGGCCCAACACCCTCGAGCGCGCTGCACACCCCCACGCATTCGCCACCGTCCTCGACGGTTGTTGGCGATTCTCGGTATCCTAATGGAACGCCGCTGGAGGAGACGACCGGAGGCTGCGGCGAGCCCATGGATGTCGATTTGAAGAGGAAGATTGACGAGGTTGACGTCCCTCAACAAACTCAAAAGAGAATAAGGGTGGGCGACGCCGTTGAAAGCATACCCTGAGGGTGAACGACCGGCATTTACACAATGTTACAGCATCAAAAAATCCGCATTTTTCCAACTGGCACGCTCCCTCCCTCAATTTTTTTTCCACCTTCAAATGCCATCTGGGTATGGCTTGTAGAATTGGTCCGGCTCGTCTGCTCTATGCTTGCCCCTTTGCAAGGCTGCTGTTGCTATCGTCTCTTGATATCATCCATCACTTCTTTTTTTTTGGGTTGTGCATGAGTTCTGTTTGTCTCCCTGTCTCTTTCGCCTGCACGTTGGACAGATGTACTGTATTTTACCACGCTCGCTTCCGTTCTTTGGTTGCAACTCACACCCGCTTTGGCTTCCCCCTCCCCCTTCAGCCAGCCACCCAATTTACTACTCGCTATCTGTATGTATGTGTTAAGAATGTTCAGAGCTTGTGAATACATATGTGCGAGCAGAGCGGACAGAAGATGCCACCACCAGAAGCCCGGCGTTGCCATGGTATGTAATTTTTGACAGGGACGTCGGGGGGGACTTCAGTTCTGTCGTTTTGTTCCTACGGTTGTTCACTTTCCACAGTCTACCTCCAAAAGTTTCTCTGCTACCGAGTTAGTAGCAGGCCGCCGCGATCAGTGCACATATCCTATCCATACGTTCTTTCTCCCGCTTGTTTCATTTATCTTTTCGCTCCTTTTTTTTTTCGCTCTTCGGGGCCTTGTAACATCACATGTTTTCCTTTCGAAGGCGACCCAAAGACACGAGCACGACGTCGGCCCCGCCATTGAGGTCGTCCCCTTCTCTCCCCGAACTGCACGCGCAAGGAATTCCATGGCCAGAGAACCTGGTAGATGTAACCGTCCTGCGCGAAACACCAGTGCCCAATGCAAAGAGGGACGAGGAGGGGGAGGAGGAAATGGAATTATCGATGTCGCTACTGCATTACCGTCAACAACAAGGTGCGGTCAAAAGCTCCTTACATTCGCTCGACCGCGCCCCGCCGATTCTTTTCCACAAACCATTTTGGTTACAACCAGGTCACAATCAACATAGTCATCAGCTGTATCATCCAGCTGCTGTTCACAATGGAGTGGTGTCTATATCTTCGTTGTATATGTCTCCCCAAAGTGCCTACCCCGCGTTCGATCATTGGAGGAGCGGTACTCCCGCCAGTACGAATGCGCCGACTGTGGTTGCGAGACGTGTGCATAGGAAAAATAGGAACCCTCCCGCGTTTAATCTCATGGTGAGTAGCGAGCCTCTTTTTTGTTCTCGATCAATTGGATGCGCTGGGGTGGCTGAGACGAACGCGTTTGGATTGATATATGTAATGTTTCAGGTCGTGGGTGGTCGAGGCACGGGCAAAACCTCGCTCCTCCGTCTTCTCCTCGATACCTCAGACATTTCGTCCGCCGCATCAGAAGAACAACGCGCGTCGTTGCATCGTTTTCTCCGGGGCGAGCTCAAACAGACTCAGTCGATCAACACGGCGTGCATCGAGACATCCGAATCTCGATATGAGAGAGTGCTCCTGACTGTCATTGACACCCCCGGCTTGGACTTCAGTGAAGGCAAGGAGTTGGGTGTGGAGCGTCAGGTTACGAGTATTATCAAGTATATTGACCAACAGTATGCGGATACTATGATCGAAGTTCGTTATTTTCTTCCTTCCGATGTAACATGGTCCGTGGTTTGCTTTTACTAACGTCAATTAATGATGACAGGAAAGTAAAGTCGTTCGGCAGAGTAGAGGAGATCAGCACATACACCTGTGAGTTTTCGCGCCTCTGTAATTGATCATTAAAATGGAGTGTCTTACTCGTGTCAGGTGTATTTTCATGATCGACCCCTCCTCTATCATGACCAGCGACGCGCACCGCGCGAAGTCATCGTCGCTCCCAAGAAAGGCATACTCAGAGACGAGGCTTTCGTCTTCAACAGTACGGCCGTTGGAGCCGGATGACCGCCTCCTGGACTCAAGCACCCCCGGTGAACTCACCATGTCACCGGCCGAGCTCCAGGTGATCCGTCGCCTGTCGGAGCGTGTTAACGTGCTTCCCATAATTGCACGTGCAGATTCCCTCACCGATAGCGCGTTATCTGCCGTTAAAGACGCCGTCCGCAGGGGTCTGCATGAAGTGCAATTGGACTTTGGTATATTCTCTACGCCCATGACGGCGAAAGATGGAGATTCTTCGCCGTCTCGACAAATACCAGCTGCTGCCAATGAAAACGATCCAGCTGGCAATGGCAGCACCCCTTCGGATCAACATCTTAACGGCGATTCCCACGCGACCCCTGACACCGAGGCGATGGAGCCCAAGGACGGTCACCGACGAGCATCACGTCCAGTCATAAGAGTAAAGACTAGACAGGTTTCATCCCGGTCCCGGTCTCGCTCTCGCAGGGACCTCTCTGCTCTTGCTCAAGATGAGCGAGAGCCACATTTCCCCGAGGAAGTGGACGAGCTAAGCGTCGCGAATGTACGCTTTTCAGCACAGACGCTGGCGAAAACAGACTTGGGAACATTATTGCCGTTCGCATTCATCGCGCCCGAGCCGCTGGAGTCTCCGCGGACAATACAATTGCACCCGTTGATGGTGACCCCTGACTCATCCGTTCCCCGTGAAGACCTTAATAGTTCTTCGACCCCTGTGACAGAAGTGTCAATGACGGGGGGACCCCCGGATAGCCCCGCTACCATAACCCGCAAATCGGTATACAATCAGACTCCGCCGGAAGATCTGAGGGGTGTATTCAAGAGGAAGTTCCGATGGGGAACCGTTGACGTACTCAACCCTGACCATTGTGACTTCGCCGCCCTGCGAACTGCCATGTTATTGACGCACATGAAGGTTTGCCTTTTTATTACGTTTCTGTTTTTGCGTTGCTCTCACGGAATTGGGAACTGATATATATTATTGTTGGGTTCGCTTCATTCATTCAATGCAGGTACTCAAAGTTCACACTCGGGAAGTGTTGTACGAAAGGTACAGAACTGAGAAACTCTTGGCTAAACGTGCCACAAGAGCCATCGGACCTGAGCAGGCAAAGCGTCTCTTGGAAGGTTAGTAACTGCTCTCTCTCTCGTAAAAAAAGGGGGTAGTTTACTCATCGATTTTTCCCCCAGATCTCGGTTTGTAAAACCAAGTGCCCTTGATACTTTTATATTTATTTAGCGTTATCCTCCCTTCCACCTACCGACCGACGTGTTTGTTTGTCCAACCTATTGTTTTTTGTATCCCTTTTGTTGTTATCCCACTACTAGCCCCTCCCCTGACTTTCGCCTCTCTTTTTGTTGTTTCTGCAGAACGAACACAGTCAATGTGATACCACCTTGCAGCATTCTTACTAGTACGTACGGATCATTCATTTCCCATCTCCTTTCTATTACATATCTATCGACACGCCGCTTGTAACACCCTTATCACATCCTTCCCATCCTCTTTTGGCTCGAGCCTGCCTTCTTCGTTTTGGATGGATCCGGGTTTGCTTACATCTCAAATCAAAATCGCTTAAATTCATGACACGCTCGTGACAACCGGATCAGCAGCAGCAGCTCTCAGCACCCCAGGCGGGGTTGAATATGTACGGTACTGTATTACACATTATCGTAAGTAGCAGATAGGGAGCAATTGAGCTGTGCCTGCGGGATCGTCTTTACCTCAATTTGGCTTGGTCCTCATAAGCTCCTCTACTTCTGCTTCACCCAATCCGTCCAATCTCTGAAGGAGATAGTCGACCTTAGCAGAGGACATATCAGCACGCACGGACACTGGATCGGGTATCCGGAAGAGCCCCTACCTCGACCTCAATCGTGAGAGGGATGATGTAGTTCTCGTACAGCTCAACAACGCCGTCCACGTCCACCTTTGCATTGCCATTCAAATGCGAGTTGGCAATGGGCTCGCCGTCAGGCCCAAATTCCTGAGCATATGTCGCGGCCTTCCTTCGGAGCCGCGTGAGTAGCTTCTGAACTACGTCTCGCCTCATGATCAGTTCTTCTAGTTCTGCTGCGTTGCGACTACGGATGTGGGGGACGAACGCGGCGGGGTGGTCCCGGAATTTGGATTCTGCCACGAATTTCCCTGTAGTCAAGGCACCCATCAGACAATGACCTAGCTGATGGATTCTTTTTTAAGAAAAAAATGGTGCTGTACGCACCATAATGCACACGCTTGCTGATAGCTTGCAAGATTTCTACATCTATAGTTGCTGCACTGCCATAGTTGGCATCGTCTTCGCACTCGTCTCCACCGACGATTCCATTGGAGCGCTTGAGTGCAGAGAGTGCAATAGTTGCTCGCTGTGTTATGCGAGGAACGATGAAGCGGGTATAGAAGGAGAGGATGGAAGGGTTGACGTTGACGTTGTTTTTGTACAAGATTTTTGGGAACGCAAGAGGAGGAAGGACAGGCTCTGGGAGGTTAGATGTGAATGGATATTCATCGAGGCTTCACGGGCAGAAACGCAGATTAGTGTGGATGCAAAAGAAAAATCTCGGGAGAGGAATAGGGGACATACCTCGTGTATCTGCGGGCCTTGGCTGCGTTTTTTTAAAAGTGATTTTACGTTTCAGCTCATTGGCATGAGATGGCGAGGGAAGGGAAAAGATAGCGAACCATGGAAAGTCTCGATCTCTTTCAAAAACCATCCAAGCCAGCTGCCTTCGATGCCTTTTTCTTTAAGCTCAGGGATCCCACCATTGACGTACATCTTGGCATTGTGTGCAAACTGCGCTCGTTCTATTAGTCCGAAGATAATGGTATCTTCCAGGCGGATCAGGATTGATCGAATGCGTTCTAGGGACAGAGGGTCCCCTACGTGCACGCAATTTTGAGACAGCATCTTTTAGTTGTAGTGCGATTTATCAGAAGAGAGGAAAAGTATTCGGTGGGGTTGGTGGTATTAGGTGGGTTTTTATGGTCGAATACAGCTTGGCCGGAGCAAGGTTGGAGCACAGGCTTGTGGTAAAGGGCACTGTGTTTACATACTAACTTAGACCCTTTTCCTCATGTGAGGCGAGGAGACAGAGCGGGCAGGTGTCAAGCACAATATCATATCAGCGATGGCACTGGCAACCGAACAACTCCTATCCCTCTGTACCAGCCGGTCAACGGCCACACCGGTCAGCACCATATCACCCATCACCCAGTTCCAAGTTGTCTGATGCGGGTGCCCTGGAAAGGGGGACAGATCCACTGATTAGCCATTCAGTCAAGTTGCCAGCGCGCCCCGACGTGACGTCCCGGAGGTGGTATCTACCGATTGTTATCTCGTGCCAGATCTACCCCACTTATGGCCACCGCCGCCTAGAAGCAGGTGGATTTAGTACTAAACTAACTGGCGTAGTGTGCGGGCATAATTCAACTTTCGTGCGCCATTCTTGCGCCGCAGAGCTACTCGGAACAATGGACGGAGCGTGTCCTAATACCGCATGCTTGTAATAATGATATCGCTATCGGCACAGCATCGTTTCGGTAGCGCTCTATCTGCAGTAATTTTGCTCGAGCATTGAAGGCTACTGTAGATAGTGCTGTACTGGACGCATAACATTCAGTGCTCTGCGGCAGTAAAGGGGGGGGGAAGCTGACCCCGCAGAGATCTGCAGCAAGGAATTGGCCAACGGTCGGTTGCAGTTCGTCCCCCGCCTAACGGCGATTTTGCCGCCCATCAACCTTAGACTGGACTGGAGCAACAGTTTGGGCAAGGTCCGAACCGTATTCATTATCAGAAGTTAGATTCCTTCAATCCACGGAGAACCTCCTACCACGTTATCCGCTGTTATCCGGCCCATCACAGAAATGCAAACCTTGGGCACGGTGAGAAAATTTGGCCACCCCATAGGAAGGACGTCGAATCCGGCATGTGTGACGATGTACAGTGCATGCGCAGTAACAGGGATCCAGGAACCTGTCCAGTGTCTGCTTCCGTCACTTCCCAACAAGTGGATCTCTGGCCCTCGATCCTGCCGGAGGTGAGTTGCTCGTGTACGGTCCAACTTGAGTCCGTGTGCACGACGACCCACCTACGATCATTAACGGGTGGCTAGAGGTGTTGTTCCCCCTATTCAGGGCTGCCGATTACGTTGGTATTCACTACTTGTCCGACTCTACCCTTGTGGAGGTGTCGGATGGTGCTGATGGGGAGATCACGTCCGAAAAGTATTCGGCCGATATTAGTGTGTAACTGCAGAGAAGCCTAATATCCTGTTCCTTCAGCGATACCAAAACAGGCCAACCCATCCAGCCGACTCGTCACACCGTCCCAGCTAAGATCTCATCTGCTCTTCAGAGTGAGGTACTAGGTATTTGTATGATGTAAGGGTGAATAGTCCGGTGAAAGTAGCATAAGGACCTACCCCTTGTGCTAATGCTGGCGAATGCGATGATAATCGTTCATCCAACCATGGTCAGGGCCAGTTCGAAGAAAGATCTGCATATCAGCAGATAAGAGACGCCACCGGAAGGTGGCAATCAGTACCGCTCGTCTCCCCCTGGAGATGACAGAAATGACAGAAAATCAGAAGTAATATTCAGTCACATGACATGCAAGTCAAGGGCACTCAGCAATTCGATAGTGGAGAACTCAAGCAGGGGAGGTGTATTAAATTTCGCACTATGGTGCAATGTCGGAGACTAGGATGATCACCTTTCGGCGAAGCAGTCAATCACGAACGTGGTAACATATAGAGGTGCCAGACTTTACGCCCGATCGATCGACGTATCCCATGACAAATTGTTGACGTGTGTGGATATCTTCCGAGGTATTTAAGGGCTTCGAGAGACTCCAAGTTTCTCTGAGAGCAGATTAACACATACCTGCTTACTAGTTAACCATGGCACCTCCTGTCGCTACTGACACAGCGATAATCGAAGACAGGCCGGCCTATTCTACGAAGAATACGGCCTTCGTTGACAAGCTCGATGATGTGCTCGAGGATTACGAGGGGAACTATCGTTTTGCTCCCATCGAGGAGGCCCAGGTATCCAGAGCCATGATAAAACGGTCATTCTGGTTAGGTCAACGTAATGATGAGAGGCTGACTGAGAGAATGCAGGTACTTCAATATGATGTACGAGCGTGCTGTGTCAGATGTTGTCATCGTCGGCGCTGGCAGTGCCGGATTATCGTGCGCTTACCGGTTGGCAACGGAAAGGCCAGACCTCAAAGTAACGATCCTAGAAGCGAACGTTGCACCCGGTGGGGGAGCTTGGTTGGGAGGTCAGTTGATGACACCGATGGTGACTAGCAATCTTTCATCCTATCGTAGAATGGGTGCTAATTCGTTAATTAGGTTGTCCGTAAGCCCGCGGATAGGTTCCTGCGGGAGCTGGGCATACCATACGAGGACGAGGGAAACTTCGTGGTTGTGAAACATGCCGCTCTCTTCACATCGACTATCCTCTCTCGTGTTCTGGCGCTGCCCAATGTCGTCTTGATGAACGCCACTGCAGTGGAGGATCTCATCATCCGTACGGATTTCCAAGGCCGCCAGCGTGTTGCTGGGGTAGTAACCAACTGGACACTCGTGGCACTCAACCACGACACGCAGTCCTGCATGGACCCTAACACCATTACGGCTCCCGTAATTATTTCTGCCACTGGCCATGACGGCCCAATGGGAGCATTCTCAGCGAAAAGGTTGGTCAGTGCCGGCCTGTTGAAGGAGTTGGGAAACATGAGAGGATTGGACATGAACCGCGCTGAACCCGCCATTGTCAACGGGACGCGCGAGGTTACTCCGGGATTGATTCTGACAGGTAAAATTGGAGATCAATCCTGCTGCTAAACTGGCATTGATGGAAAATGCACAGGTATGGAGTTGTCCGAACACGATGGGTCGAACCGTATGGGACCTACGTTTGGGGCGATGATGGCCAGTGGGATCAAGGCAGCAAAAGAAGCCATTCGGATTCTCGACTCTTCTCAGATCGTCGACGGCAAGGTGGTGGGGTAAACAAGATACTAAAGTGTGCTTACATAAGTCGTGTATTTGTACTTGTGGTGATACAGTCACGTGAATGATTGACCCTATCCTGCGACTTACCTTTGCAAGAAGTACTGTGAACACAAGACATGGGCCTTATGCTACCTTCACCAGACAGTCCTCGAGAACGCGCACGGCAACTCATAGCTAAAAAAGATGCCATAGAAGCAGAAATAAGTGCTCAGGCTGATGTTCTCAAAGCAAATTCATCCGACATGACCACGCCTTTAGTCGACCGCGAGGGCTTTCCTCGCGCGGATCTGGACATTTACGCCATACGGCGAGCACGCCACCGCATAATAGAGCTCAGAAACGACCTCAAGGATATCACAAATGAAATTGGGAAGGTGCTGGAACAAGTATTTGATCCCTCGGTGGCTGCTCTCGTGCCTTCGACGTCTGTGTCGGTAGAAGCTTCCTCACTGCCCAGCAACATCGAGGGGGACAACCCGAAGCCGTTTGCCAGAGTAGATGGTGTAGCCCCTGGTAGTCCTGCTGCTGAATCCGTGCGTGACACACCGTTCCCTATCTAGGTGGGTCGTAATCTGGATGACATCGCTACACAGGGTCTTCGCCGCGAAGATCTCATTGTCAAGTTTGGCCACCTGACAAGGACATCGGCGGCCTTACTGCAGCGACTCGCAGAACTCGTATCTGTTAGTGAAAATGTAGGTTTTCTGTCTTGGCATCATCCGCACTTTGTTATGCTTACGGCTGATGTGCGAAGCGAGAACTGGTGGTGCAGGTTCTCCGTGAGGAAGAGACATTAAACCTCAACCTCATTCCTAGGAAAGGTTGGGGAGGCCGTGGCATGCTGGGGTATGTTTTTCCTTCGATATCCTCGCAGACATTCAAATCCGTACTATGTCAGGTGTCACATCGTGCCATATAACATAGCCTGATTCAACTACCTAGGAGGGAAAATGTCGGGAGACTACATCTCCTTCCTTCGGTGACAGGAGGTATATCACAGTTACAACTTCACACCATGTGTTATCGCCTTATTCATCTCTTTCGATTGTGCCATAAGACGTCCGACTTCTCCATGGATGATGTGAGACCCTCCCTTAACGGCCTACCTCCTGATTACTTTGACGTTGGAATTGTTTTCCTTGCTTCTTCTCCAAGACCATGTCGCGTGTTCTAGGAGCGCTAAGCTAGCCGCAGTATGGCCAACCAGTAACAAGACAGGGCGGATTACAAGGGGCGACAGTCTCCTTGAATCCTGGTACACTTCGCAGATCCGCTTCACGGCTGTTCGAAGAATTTCCAAACATGTAGTATGCTCTGAATTGAGCATCGCCGCTGCGCAATGAGCAGGTTACCTATACGATAAATAACAATGACGTTGTAAAAATCGCTTACACAGGTGGCAGGAGCCTCTCTAGCACTTCTGGCAACGCGGGGTCATTGAGAAACACATTCCCCTCGCTGAATGGAGTCTGTAAAAAGGCGCACATAGCGAGTCTGTCGGTCCATAGGTCCTTCCCCAACGTTTCCTCGGCGCAGAAGCTTACCAACTGAAAGCCGTCGTCTACGCGCACGCCCAAATAAAGGATGTGAACTTCAAACATAGCACCCATGGGTATGTACCCCATGCACTCAATTCATCAAAAGGCGATAGTTCGAATGGGACGTGCCATAATCGCTCTGCCAAGAAGCCACTTGAAACTTGGTAAAGGCGTCAATATGTCATCCGTATGCGGAAGATTATACAGAACTACAAAAAACAAACGATTATAGTGAGGAGATGAATTGGAAAGCCTGCACGCACTTGCTCGGGTCGATCGCAGAGACCACCTGTACGACCACGTAGTTTCAGCTTCATTCAATACTTGGGATAAAAGTCAGTATTGATTGTCTGCGAAGGGAGATTATATTCCGTAACGAGCACATCTGTGGCACCGGCGGCACGCCCTGCACAGCACGTACATCACGCTATACCACTTGCTACAGGCGGTAGGCTCCACCACTCCACCACTTGTAGATTTTCTGAAACAACCTTCAAATTAAGATTAGTCTCCGAAACGAGCGCATCAAATGACCCTAGATGGAACGACATGGTGTGTCAATGAACCGCACGGTCCATCGTCAAAAGGCAGGTCACGTATATGGCACGAGAGCATAGATGATATAGATACATCCGTGAAGAAAGGAGCATAGTACAAGGCAGTGGCATTCCTCGAAGGTGACAGAAAAAAAGTGGATAGCGGTGGTGGATCATTCTACTCCGAAGCCCTCAGTTTCCCTGCGTAATCTGTCAGCCTGGGAATGAACCAGAGACTAAGCAAGCCTTCTCACTCTATCGCAAACAAGAGCTTCTTTTCCAGACTTTCGTAATCTTCGTAAGGGGGGAGCTCGATTCTGTTGAAGCATGTGTGACTACGAGGCAATTGAGACGGATCACCAGACTTGTCGATCGTGAATCTTCGTGGACCGTCTGAACCTTGCAAATCCTTGAATCCGTTTACAGGCACTCTCGAAGTTCCTGTTACGAACTGCAGCAAGCGCGATTTGCGTTCGGCAGGCCAGCTACGGACTACCTGCCAGAACCACCCAATGACTTTGTCCGTCTTCTCGTAGCCACGGTAGTCCGTATACGAAATCCAGTCGTCACTGCGCTCGTCGGTCAGGCAAGGCAGTCAGTTGAAATAGCCTTACGTTACGTACGTGTCAATCTCCGGTACTCCACCAATTAAGAACTCCAGTTCTCGTTCATCGAAGACATCAATCATGTCCACAGGTATCAACTCCTTGAATCCAGACATGAATGCGTCGAACTGCGCTTTTACCCGAGTTCTTGTGCGATACTCCACCACGGCATCGACATATTCCTTCTTGTTAGCTTCCGTGACGTGGATGTCAGCACCTCTCGCCCTCAATTCAACCTCTCGAATCTCGCCAAAGCGATCTTCTGTCGCCGTGAACGTCATCTCGAGAACGTCAGTAATGTCGTTGTTCCTGGTTTTTGTGCACATGATTAGAGCCGCTCTCAATAGACGTAACGACCGCACTTACAGGATCCAAACCATGCTTCGGTGTAGTTCTGCATCAATTCCCTCAAGGTCCGAAAGTGACGGCTTCTTGCCCAAGATCACCTTGTAGAAGCTTGGCACGAAATAGGCATCCAGGAAACGGCGATGGAATATGGTAAGCCCCATAATCCTGCCAACGAACGTGAAGTAGCTCAAGTGGTCTGGATTGATCCCAGACAGCCAATTGATCTGTAATGTGTAATTGTCGTGTGTCGAATACTGGAAGAGACCGTACGAAGGATCAAAGATTTCATGGGAAATTAAAAAGAACCATTCCCTAAACGCGACGGGAGACTCAGATCAGGCTACAAAGCTAATAATGAAGACCAACGAACCTGGACACGCCTCCATAATCCAATCCGTCCTCACCTTCGAACCTGATGACCAACCTCTTTCTTAAATCATCAGGCCGACACCTCATGATGGAAGCGTAGCTGTCTTCCAACATCATGTTCCGTCGGACGTTAATTTCGCATTTACCGTCCATTACCTGCATCGAGGGCTGACTACGGAAGTAGATCAATTTTCGTCGGTAATCACGCTTGTACTGAGGAGCATTAGAGTCAAGATCCGTGGGCACACGAGGATCATCCCATGTTGTTGTGCGAGTGTTGTGGTCCACAAAGTAAACACGATTTGTCGAGGTAAGGCGCATTTCCCAACCTGAGGGCAGTGGCCCAAGCTTTGCATTCCTGTCTTCCGGTAAGGTCGCAGCCGTAGTTGTAGCAGCCCTTCGAGGGTCGCTCCACGTCGTCGATCTGGCATTATGATTTACAAAGTACGGTCGGCCTTCTGGGGTGCGACGCTCCTCCCAGCCTGCTGGTAGAGGAACATCTGCATAATTGCTCGAGGTCTGTGGCTGGTGAGGTGCAGGGAGTGAAGTTGCAGCAGGCTGCCGTAGCTGCGGTGGATCTGGACGGTTCCATGAAGTGGTACGCCTGTTATGATCTACATAGTACGGCCTGCCGCTTAGATCAATGCGCCGTTCCCAGCCAGGTGGAAGCTGGCCGTACTCGTCTTCGTAGACTGCCTGCAAGTGTGGGACGTCATTGATATTCGATGGCTGCCGGGAGCCAAGGCGCGATGTGGATGACAGTGGAGACAGAGGGGAATTACTAGACTGTGGCCGAGGGGAAAACGATGAGCTACGACCCTGAAGTGTGCCTAACATAGATGTTGCGGGGTTTGGCTGTGATGATTCCACTCGAAGGGATGGCGAGCTTCTGTGCGAGCGGAGATTCGAAGACGAAGATTCGGACAAACGTAACGATGAAATAGAACTGATTGTTTGATCTATGTTATGTTGTTGTGCCCCAGCGGTGCGTGGGAGTGAGAAAGAGAAGAGCAGCTTGCCAGAGACCGGCGGACCACTAGAAGAAGACTCTATTTCCGCCAAATCTTTGCTAATCAAACCTGGACAATCTGTTAGACGGCAGCACAAAGGACGAGGACAAAACTGACCGTGAGTGTTTCTGGAGTATTCCAAGGCCTCGTCTCCAGAAATCCGGACTAGTCCCAGAAAACCTTGGTCCCTCTTCTTGAACCTGCGTTGGTCGAAGACTTGGATGGTGATAGTGGAGCTCCGTTTGATGGTACTGTGAATAGAAGGGGCCAAAAGTTAAGGTATAGGTGCAACTGGGATGAGAAGCAAAGAATCTTACATATCAAAATGCTGATTCCACGTAGGAATAAGCGTACGTTTGATCGTGTTAGTGGTGTACGTCTGATTGACGTCAACAGACACGACTGCGAAAGGATCGGGCTGGCTGAACACTTCTCTCTTGACAAGGGAACTTGCAGCAAGAACTGGGTGTGTCGACCGTCAGAGGTGTTCGTACATTTAAGGCAACGGAACCACGCCATTACCAGTGATTCTAACTAAATGGCTGGTGTCCTCGGACGACATTTCTCAGAGAGCCGGGGATGAGTGAAGCCAGAACCACAGGAATGCGGGCTTAGGAAATAAAGGAGCAATAGGGTCGTCGGCGTTTCTTGAACTTTGGTGGTTAGAGATGCTCCGGCACAACTATTCTCCAATAAGCGCTCGATTTTCATTAACTGGAAGCAAGGATGCAGCCGGAACAGACCTGATGGCAACAGAAGTACGTGCAAACGACGGTCGGGGGCTTCCCAGGTACGGGTCAGGGGTAGAAGGAGAGCTGCTGGCCGGACCAGTCCTGGAGGACTGCAGGTCCGTGCAAGTCCGAGTACAACGCTTTGTGTGTCTGACTGCGCGGACCAGGATATTTACGAGGGGGCAGGCAGCACGTGACTACAGAATACCCCTCAGGACAACTGGCGCTGTAGTTTGTATCTACCACGAGGTCTTTTGACGGCTCAGGCCATCCCAACCACCAAGTCCTTCGATGGTCTGTGCAGTGACTGCACTGCAATACAGGGCTGCGGAAAGCTGGATGTACCATACGCACAGCCTACTTGTAGTCTCTCAGACGGCCCAGTACTTGGAGTTTGCGTAGCGTGTGCCTAGAGTGATCCACGGTAGTTCCACAGTGAAGAAACCGGGATGTTCGGAACGAAGCTGGTTGCCGTTGGCTGGCCAGCTGTGGATTTGTGTCTGATCAGTCACATATGTGGCCAGGGGCGATGCAAACAACACGTCTTCACGCATGCAGCGGCACGCTCAGTGACCCACAACCCGACCATCCTGATCTTGCCACCCTCAAGGTGATCCTGGCACTGGGACTATATATTCCAGTCGTGTCCTCCTCCCACTACCACAGCAGTTGAACGGATTTCACCCATGGAGAAGATTGACATGCAAGAGAGTACCTCGATTACGTTCGAGTGGGTCCTTCGGGGACTCAAGAGTCTGTTCGATTCGAGGTCCGTCTATGCTGGCTTGGCTTCGTGGATGTAGACGGCGTTGACACCGCGAAAACAGCAAAGGCGAGTCCAAGTCAAAGGTAACGAAGTCAGGCAAGTTTGGAGGCGGCAGGTGGCAGGTATGCCTCTGGATTCCTGCGAGATCAGCGGATCCAAATAGGTTCGCATCCGAGTAGATCCTTTTCTACGCAAACTCCGGCACAGAAAACGGGGCGTTTGTAAGCCTGTATCTTTCTTGCGAAGTGCGTCTCCCAGGTTCCCTCGTTCTATGGTGGGCGTCCTATTGATGTCTCGCTAGCCTAACGCAGAAGAGAAAGATAAGGCACTCGACGGCAAGTATGTTCCTTCTCTTCCCATCGATGGTTTCCTTGCTTATGCCCGTTTTCCCAAAAGGTGGGTTCGTGAAGGAGTATACAAATTCACCTTCGAATTACGAAAGTCAGTCGTAGTCTTTGTGGTCCTAGTGATTGGTCCTCAGGGAGTCCCTGTTTTCATGTCCAGTGTTGGGAAGACCGTACTTTTTAACGCAAAGGAAGCACAAAACCACTCTTTTTCGTCAAAGGTAGGTGATCCCAAGTTCGCCGTAAAACGTGCTAACTCACTGCAACATTACAGACGGCAAATTGGGGATGGTAGGCTACTCTGGGCTCATATGTCGGTCTCAAGACTATTCCATTCACAGGGCACAATTTGCAAAACGAGATCACATCTATTACAATTCACACAGTGTGAAGGAAGCTGATGCCCTCTTAATCGTGTGCACTATCACATCGTCTCCTCAAGCACCGGTACCGTCCCCTTCAGTCCCCGTGCAGCTCGTCCCCAAAGATTATCTGGAACGAGTGGGAGGATTACTTGACGATCCTCTATACTCGGATGTAGAGTTTATCTTGCCTAGGAGAGGGAGATCAAAAGAGGTCCGAAGGATATACGCCAACAGGAGGATCTTGGAGCGTGCGGATTATTTCGAATCCAGTGCGAAAGCTATCCATTGCCTGCATTTCGCCCTTACTGAACGCACACAGTGTTTAGGTCTGGTTTTTTGGAGGCCTCAGCAGACGATGACCTCCGGCAGTCCCAGATAGACACAGAGGACATGGACATCGCATCCGATGTCACCTACTCGTATCAATACAACGATTCAGATGACGAGGACGAGGACTTTGTCACCGATTTCTCAGAAGAACCTAGCTTTGATGGTTCGACGGAGACGGAGACAGAATACGTCTCTGGCTCCCCCACTTCCACTCGTGTGCCAAGTGTCCTCGAGTCAGTTGCAGACTCGAACACTTACGGGAGTGTTAGATCCAGCGACGCGGCCCCTGCGGAGGAAGATCCTAACGTCCAAGCCAAAGCTTCTGACCCTTCTTCGCCGAAGAGTACAGACGCTTCGCTTAGATGTGTGCCAGAGCAAGCTCAGCCTGCTACCCGACCAGAAACGGTCGAGGTTCAGGGACCGAAGAAGATGCGCGTGGTCACAAAGGACGTCGCGTATGCGACGTACAAAGCCGTGCTCTACTATGTAAGATGCGTCTACTGAACACATGTATAGGATCTCATCTGGTACATTTAGCTATACACTGACGTCATTGTCTTCGCACCATTTTCATCTTCCTTTATCGCGTTCCCCTTACAACAGAAGCGAGGAGCCACCACATCCGCTCAGGGAGCATCCGAGAGCCAATCCAGCCTTGTGGACAACCAAAAGGTGCCCGTTCATGTCGAAAACCCAACGACCAGACGCGAATGGATCAAGAGATGGCAACAGAACCATCCTACGCAGCCCGCGCCGTGTTCGGCCAAGGCTGTTTATCGTCTAGCCGATAGTACGTCCTCCATGCCAGCAGTCTCTACTTCGAAGTTTTCTTAATTGCCTCGTATGTATAGAACTAGGCCTTCTTGAGCTAAAAGAGCGGGCGTCTCAGGTTCAGCCCTTTTCTCTGTATCTCTCATAGAAATGTAATTGTCTTCTTCGCAGCACATCCAAAAGTCGCTCAGCGTGGAGAATATACCTTATGAAGTGTTCTCTCCATTCTCGGCTACCTTCCCCGATATAAGGAAAGTCCAGGTCAAGTACTTCCTCGAACACTGGGCCGAGGTTCGAGCATCAGAAGGGATGCAGATGGTATGGCAACAGATTCGGAAAGGGAGGCACCCTGGATTTGAAGAAAGTGGGTCATGTCTCGTTTTTTTACTTGACCACCCTAGTGCCAGTGTTTACCGCGTTCTCCAGTTTGGCCCGTAATTGTGCAAAATCTAGAGTTTATTCCTCATTCTGGGACAGTAGCGGAGGCTACTGATAATTGAGAGGATTACCACACCTTTAGAAGGTGGGTATTTACTGGGAAGGACTATGAGGGTGGCTTCATTTCCTGAACGTCGTAGATCAGTGTCATCAGGTAACACAAAGTCTTCCGTATAGAGGTGACCGTACCCTAGCAGATTTGAGTGTGGTTGGTTAATTGGAACGGTTTCATTCTCATCTGCACTCGCACAAGTATTACCTCGATAACTCATAACTATATGGTGGCACAATACCATTATTTGCACTGTGCAGATTCATCGGTGGCCTGCAGAAACCCCATGCGACATCAAAAGCGATGTTTGAAGTCAACAAGTCACGCAAGGAAAGAGCTGAGTAGAGCAAGTTCATGTGAGACGAGGTGGGGGCGATCAATCACCCGACCAACCAAGTCATAATGAAAACGATGTTTGCAAGAGATGGGTATAATCCAACAGCTACTCGACGCTCGTAAGACTGCCAAAATCTGTTCCTTCTGTCCCGGAAATACTGGCCGTGCCATCTTCATCCTCATCCCTGCCGTAACTGTCTTCATCTCCACTACCATGATCAACAGTTTGCATGTATTTGCGACCACTGCGACTCGTAGTCCTGACGAGGTTACGTTGCCCCTTCGCAGCAATACCGTCATAAGTGGCAACAGCGGTGATAGTAGAGACCATACCACGGTCCAGCGAATGCGCGTTTGGACTGCGTATGGCATTACCTTGACGTATCAGATCTTCGTTGAGTTTGGAGCAGAAAACACATCATGATGAAGGTGACGAATCACCATTCAAGGAGACAGAAGAGCGGCCCACGGGTGTTCCAGATGGCCCCGGCGTGACTGTCGACCGTCTCGTGCCAGCGCCCTGGCCTGTGGTTCCGTGAGGCCGAGTGGGACGGGGATGCGCCACCACAAGATGCTGAGGGTGATCGAGTGAGGACCGTGTTGCTCTCGCTGGTGGGCTCCGCGGAATGTCCGCAGGAACGACGACCTTATGGTCAGTGGACCCACTCCCCCTCTCCTCAACGCCGGGGAGGTTACGCCCTTCATTACGGCCCGCAGGTTCCGATGGAATACGGTGAAGGTAACCAAAGCTACAGAGTATGATGACAACCGAGATGAGATCTTCCTCGAGAAAAGGAATAAGGTTAAACACAAACCCGAAAACGCATCCAAGGAGTCCCTCGCCGCCCCAATGGCGATTGGGCACAAGAACCACCTCCCTGAGATTACTGTGGGACTGTAAGGCCAAGAAACGCCATAGGATTGTACAGGTGACATACTCAAAGTCGTAGGAATAAACATAAACCCGCAAAGGTTTGTCAATGTGCTGGAAAAAAGATACGATCAGTGAGATTCTTCATCAACTGCTACAAGATGCCATACAGCTTCGACCACGTCGTAGAAATCATTCTCCGCCGTGAGGACGCCACCGGACCAGCCAATTATCCAGTCTCCATAGGGGACAAGGCCAGCACTTTCTGCTGGACTTCCTTCCAACACTTCTAGCACATGCCATACATTGTCCGTGGCAGATTCAAACTCGCACATTCGCATGCTTAGCCCAAGGAGGGATGGCTGTGGTTGTACGCCCGAATCATCTGGTGGTAATGCCGCCTGTTGTTCGAGTGCCCAGCCTCGCGACGGCACGATTGGAACCACTGTCATTTAGAACAGATGAAGAAGGTCGATGGGCGCGGCCGTAACCACCTGCATGCGACGCACCTCTCGTTTCACGTGTCTTTCCGCTCCAAACCAGAAGATCCAGCACCTTGTCCTCGTGCTCCTCAACGATTCGCTCTAGTTCTGCGGTGTCTAAGTCAGTGTCTCCCGAGAAAGAATCCTTGCCATTGAATCCGACAATGAAATCAAAAAAGGGTTCAATCGACGTCTGGGAAGCTGGTGAGCCAGGCGTGACCCGGAGAACATGGAGTGCGTAAGTCGCGGGTACTTGTGCGTTCGTTGACTGTCCGGCACCCATGCTTGGTTGTTGACCTGTGGTCAAGAACTCGTCGCACTGGGGTCAGCCTTAATCAAGTAATAGCCACGTGGTACTAGGTAGCCGAAAAAGGAAGGAGACCGCACCGTCTGTTTTCGCGGTCGCAGCTTACACTTCTCCAGCTCAGTGTAGCTGCAGGAGTATGTACTAAAAGAACTTACACACCGTGTAGACCGCCTTCCTTATGTTTTTAGAATACCGCAGCCGATATAATCGAGAAAGAGAGAAGTAGACGCTGCGTTTTATGCTTGAATGAAGTTGAATTCATGATCAGGCATTATAAGCATGGAGAATACATTGTAAACACACTACATATTCTATATTCGAATGAAGTTGAATTCATGAAGAGGCAATATACATATGGGGGATACATTCCAAACACCCCGGTTCTATGTTCGGATGAAGTTGAGTTCACAATGAGAAGATGTAAATATGGATACATTGCAAGGCAACTCCATTCAGTTTTCCCGCGAAGCTGAGTACCCAAATACACGGAGAACGCTTCGCAGTTTGATGAGCATTTCTTCCCATTCCTTTTCGGGCTCCGACAAGTGCTGTGATGGCGCCACCGGCGCCAATAACCCATTCTTCGTCATGATCGTCAGGCGGTGCCCCAGGGGCGTGCTCACAGCCATAGCGTCCATCATACTTGAAACAACTGCGGATGGTAACCGACCAGTCGCCTGCACCGCTTACACACCAGTAACCGAGTACACCAGAGTAAACATTTCGCTCGTCGTCCTCGAGGGTGCGAAGGATTTCGACACTACGTTTCTTTGGTGCACCAGTCATGCTACCTACAAACAATACGTGTCAGAACAGACAGCTTTGATGAGTAGGATGATATGTAGACCCACCAGGAGGAAGACTATGTTTCAGACACTCCCAACCAAGTGCGCCGTTTGCCCAACGGCTGTCTAGCGCGTCCACCTCGTCGCCAGCCTTCCCTTCGATAACGCTAACGAGCTGCCATACTGTGCTGTATTCTTCTACAGCACAGAACTGCTTCACATTAACTTCCTCGCCAACTACACCATGAAGGTCATGGCGGATCAAGTCGACAATCATGAGATTTTCGGCAACCTCCTTGGGGCTCCCCTTTAATTCTTTCTCAGCTACAGTGCGGGTGACATCTGGCCCTTTGCGAACGGTTCCTTTGATTGGGCGTAACTGGAATGTTGCTCCGGGTGGGCGGGAATAAGACAGAAATCGTTCTGGGGACGATGAGACTAATGTCGTTGGATGTAGTCGTAGATAACCAGCGTGAGGCGCGGGGTTGAGCTCACGCAGGAACTTGTAGCGTTGCCATGATGGTGATTCCGTCTCGGATGGTACCAGGGGCAGGTCACGAAGGGTAATCCTCGTCCGTGCTGTGAGGCATAACTCGTAGGAGTCGCCCGAAGAGAGGTATTCCTGGCAAGTGGAAACACGGTTCTGGTAAGTCTTACCATCGGGTAGGGAAAAACTCGTCCCCGCATTCAGCGAGGAAGGAGCGACAATAGTAGGAGTGGAGTGCTCCTGAGCTGCGGAGCGGAGGAGCTCAGTGGTATCAATGAGCCATTTCTGGTCGCCTTCCAAAATTGATTGAAGATAGATAGTACCATCTTCCAAGTCAAGGACGATGCTGCGGTCCACGAAAACAAGGTTCATGTCAGGGTGGCGAAGTTGCGTCCCAGTTGCCGTTATGGGTATCGAAAGGGCTTCAACACCAATTTCATATGATAGGTAGCCAACCAAACCTCCCCAGAAGGGCACGTTTGGGAGGCCACCAGACGCTTTCCTTTGGTTCATGAAGTCCGCTACCCATGACCATACGTCTTGAGACTCCAAAGGGACGCGCGAACAGGACTTCCCTTGTTGCAAATGCAGGAAGTCGTCACCAATGGTGTAGGTAATGTGAGGCGACGATGTATGCAAGCAACCGATGATAGTATAACGACCAGGCCCAGCAGCTGACTCCAGCATCACGAACGGTGACTTGTCGTTGGTCACGTCGAGAAGCTCACATATCGTCACCGCCTGCAAATCAGGGAGATGGAGCGTAGTCGTGAGTACAGTTCGCGAATCAGTGGAGTGTTTCGAAATGGATGGCAGACGTAGGTTAGGCCACGGCGAACCGAAAACAGAGGATGCCTTGCTGTCCCAAGGCATGGGGGAACGGTTACGAGCAGTATTCCAGGAACGCGCGAGACACCAGAAGTTGGACATCACTTCGAATCCGCCGCCCTCGGTAAGGACCGACTCAGGGTGGTACTGCACGGCCCAGAAAGGCCGCTTCCTGTGCTTGAGAGCCATAATGATTTTCGTCTTCTCGTCGTCGTCGAAACTCCATGCGAGTTCCTCCAGGTCCTCGCTACCGCTAAGTTCGACATGGAGAGAGTGGTACCGCACTGCCTTTACAATACCGACTCCCTCGAAAATGTCTCCGCCTGTATGCTCCACCACGGACACCTGGCCGTGTTTAACGACAGGTAATCTTTTTATTTTCCCGCCGTACTGAGTAGCCAGACTTTGGAGACCAAGGCAGACCCCGAAAGTTGGCACCAAGCGTGAATCGTCTACTCCCCAAAGGTGATTAGCGGCTCCGATGTCTTCTGGCTTTTCAGGGGAGCCAGGACCGGGGCCAACGATGATTGCAGAGAAATAATCAGTGTACGATAATAGCTCCTGGAAGGATAGCTGGTCGTTTTTGATGATGTGAATGCAGCAATCTGGTGATGCTTTGCGACAGAGAGCCGCAAGGCTAGAAAAGAAAACAAATTAGTTGGTATTGCTGATCGTGCACGAGAAAGCCGACTTGAATGTGAAGGAGTCATAAGAGTCCACCAAGAGGACCCTCTCTGCAACTGGGGACATGGCTTAGCTGGTGGTTTGTCAAACAAGGGAGTGCGATGTGTCTGATCTGAATTCCGATGAGTCTGTCCTTTTAACGGGAGATCACGGTGACCTGCCATTATCATTCCAAAGATATTATAATCGGTTCCCGTACGAAGTTCAACCGCATAAGTAAGGCGTGCTCGAGCACAGTTGTCATCGAGAAGGTTGTCGATTTTGTCAAACTTATTATTGAGGTACCATCCGAGGTAATACTCCGGTATGCGTGTGAAATGCGAATTTGAGAAGTGTGGTGGCATCTGATGGCTTCATTTACCACTCGCTCGGAAAATCGGACAAGTCATAGGTATTAGTCACATTTGTCACGGTGTCTCACAGCAGATTACTTTCAAATACCGATGGCGGTATTCAAATGTTGCGAGTGTGTTCTCTACCACCAGTGTCCCAATGTTCAATCTCCGCTGCGGCACACCCAGCACCAGTGTTTCAAGCTCGAATACGTATCTTAACCGATTCTTTACCAATTTCGACGGTTGAACTTCAGACAGTTTTAGTTTACTTACATGCATTGTTGTGGTGCAAAACATATGACAATTCGTGTTCCAAAAATGTGTACATAGACTGACTGGATGTCCCAGTGTATCGTCTGAATCGAGACTCTAACTCGATCCAGCTCGATACCCAGCTTGGCTTAGTCGATTTAATGGTATTGAATGTAACGCACAAATTAACTCCTGTTAATCCGGAAAACTTGCATGCTGTGCCGTTAAGTCCAAAATAATAAGAGCGATGCGGCTGAGTGTTGCCGCAGCTCGGCCCAGCTTCTGCTCCACAATCACACTCAAAGATCTCTTACGATCAATACAAGCACTTCCGTTAAAGGTCTGAGAATACAAAAAAAACAGGGCACATATGAGTTGATCAGCGTTCTGTGTGCCACCGTGCAAAGGCTACGTAAGTTTACCCCGCGCTGACGAACTTAGTGACTGCGCCGCATAGTACTAGTCGAAGCACGCAATTCCTTCAACTCGGAAATTACCAATAGCTAGCTCACGCGTAGATATATGTACCTACCGAATAGACGCAGCGTGCCGATTCGGAGTGCCCAAAGGTGGGATTTCCAACGCTGTGGATCTGACTTGATTAGACTCAAGTCCACTAGAATGAGAAAGCCTAGCGTGGGCCCGCGGTGGTGGGTAAGGTGGTTGAGACGCCGGGCGATCCTTGTACACTGTGTACAGTATGCTGGAGGGGGTTACCTGGGTGGGCATGTGTTGTTATGAGAGTAATGCCGAGCCTACCCCTTGGGATTAGGCGTCCGTACTACGGCTCATTATGACAATTCATACCGTGTAACCCTGGAAGTGATTTTGAAACAATCAATATACAAGGTAGCACATGTCAGGGTGGGCTCAGGAGGCGAGTAAACTTAGTAAGGTGCGGGTAAGGAACGAGGGTGACAGAGTGAGAGGATTCTAACTGATTTGGCAGGACGGGCAGCGAACCACGTTGATTGTGGTGTCATCATTCTTGGCCAGAACCAGGAAGAGTTTGCGGGAAATCAAATGAGGAAAAATTTGACGGAGGCTGGAGGAACCGTACCCGGAAATGTGTAACGGCGCCAGATTCGCCCTCTGTATAGATCAACCTCGTGTATCCCTTGCGGAAATTTGGAAGAGATCCATCATTGGACTCACCAGAAGCGTACCCATGATGGCAAAGGGTTTGATGAGGATGGGGAAAGCGGGGGAAAGAGGAGCGGAATAAGCCTTCGTGGGAAAGGCAGGTACGGCCAGCTGGAGAGCATTCCTCAAATAAGTAAGGTGGAATGGAGCGATGGCCTGATGGCCGAAGGAGGAGTCGGTAGTAAGGGGCTGGTATAACATTTTTCTTGTCCGCGGGGGAGACACCTAGAGCATGGCGAATTATTGCACCACATCTGTGTAGACTGTTCTTTCTGATGTTCTGTATCTGTAATGTGTGGTAACCAAGGCGCCTGCCATCGACGGCAGGTTTTGTTCTGGTAATATATGATGGACAAAATCATCCTAAGTGTCCTGGGATGGTAGTGGTTAAGTGTCATGCTATTTCTATCGAGGGCATTGCATCGCCTACCAACTGTGAACCCCCTTCCTTACTGCTCGTCGTCTTCTAACTCTGGAAGGCGTCGCGACAAGAAGACTAACAAACATAGAAGGATCAGAAGCACAGCGTATACCAGGTTTCCTCCAAGTAAGTCGTGCTCCCTTGAGAACGCGAACAGTGATGTAAATGTCGCTGGTCCTATTGCCCTCGCAGTTGATGTCGTAGTTTGGCTAATGCCATTCACTGTGCCCAGCGAATGCTTGTTCGGCGAAGCCCTCGTGACAAACACAAAGAGAACAGCTTATCAATCGCCTGAGTGGATGAACCCATCGATATCGAGTAGCGGGTGCACGTACCATAAGCAGCATCAACCACCGCCCACGAGAGTAGTTGTACAAGAACGAGTACCCAGATGGCCGGAGTAACTTCTTTTTGAGCTTGGATAACCCAGCTCATTATCGGGAACGCAACAACTATAGGGAAAAATGCAAGCACGGCCGAACAAAACACCCTTCTTTCACCAAAACGATCTACTGCTCGAGCCACGAATAATATTTGAAACAAGCCATTTCCAATGCCAAATGCCATCATCCACACGCCAATAGCGAACGGTGAGAGGCCCAATCCCCCAATTTCGACAGGAGTTGAGTAAAACAAGGGTACAAGAGCAAATAAACCAATGTCGACGAGAGCCAGTACACCGTAATTTGCGATAGGTAGCATCACCGAATAGGTCTTGAGTAGGGTAAGAGTCGGTACAGGAGAAGTATCTCTATCACCCGGGGTGTCATTCTGAGAATTTGTTGAAGGTATGTCTGGCTGTGAATTCTTCCCATTTCGCTTCAACGGCAGTGACTGTATTCTGAGATGGTTAGCTGTTCAGTGTGGTATGCGCTGCACCCTCACCTCTTTCAAAAACAATGCGGTTATAAAAAAGGAGAATGCAGCAAACGACGCAGATACGACACAAGGCAGGAAGTACGGGTATTGCACCCAGAATGATCCTGAAAAAAGCTCCGGCCAATAGTCATGCGGCCTTCCCAAACTACCACCGTACAGGGGATTGTCAAGGTTCGGACTTTTAGCCCCCAGTGGGCGTGGAAAACTATTTACGTACGCGATTGAGGCACCAACGGTGAAAGCAACAGGGATAAGCGCGAATGCCTGGGCCATATTGGTGTTGTCGGTTATTTCCCCTATGACGCTTTTCAGCACGCCGACATTACCGTTCAAGGCTCCGGCAATGCACCGACTACAGCCAAAATCTACATTATGTCTCAAGCTGAGTGCACTACAGGAATCCTCACCTTGCGACGAGCGTCCAGAACGTTCTGGATAGTCCAAAACACAGATTAGACACACTCAGACCCATCAGGCCAACAAGTAAGACGGGTTTGCGACCGATGTGGTCGGATAAGCGACTCCAGTACAACATCGTCAGCGCTTGGGTGACATAAAACAAGGATTCCTACAAGTGGGTTATTCGAAAAGCCGTATAAATCTTATGAAACTGCATTCCCGAGACCCAGATATGGTCCCAACGCAACAACGGAAAAGGAAGAAATCGCCACTCACAATAATGCCAGCATAGTATCCTACCTTGCGATCATCTCCACCCGTAACGTCTAGCTCCCTTATCAGCTACGCAGTGTTGGTAGGTGTGGAGGCCGCATCAGGTTTGTCGTCCAATCAGCCCTGCGCTCCACAGTAACCTTGCACATATTTCAAGGTACTCACCTGATTTATGAATGGGAAGATATATTGCGCTGACATAGGTCCAGTGAGAAGGACAAACAAGACAAGCCCCAGCTGTGTCTTAGGCAGAGGAGTCTTCGTCTTCGTCCGCGAGTTTTCTAGTAAGGGGCTACTTTCATCGACGGTCATTTTCCTCACATGCACGAGGCAGGATAGTGTACGGGACTGTTGAAAGGGAAAGAAAGGACTGTCAAGACATTGCGCTATAATTTATGTAAAAGGTCTCCTCTGAGAAACTGTAAAAATTCGGTTCACTCTTCGTTGGTGAACGGTACTAGAGGGAACGCTAGCTCTGATTAGAATAGTGGTGGCTGTGGTGACTGGTGGCGCTTCCGAGTAGTTTATGTTTACAATTGCAAAGTGATTGTCGAGTGGCTTACGTGTACGTCACCCATGCATTTCTCCGCACCCGCAAACCGACATAAAACAAATCGACATCTCTCGAAACTAGGTGGAAGTCTGCTCCAATCTGCTCCAATTTAACGTTAGAACGATTTCACCAGCTACACTTACAGGAAACTGGCGAAGTCTTATTCTCGTCTGCTACTCGGTTACTTTTCGGAATAATAACAGGTTAACACAAACTTGGTTTCGTGTGGATGTGTTACAAAACATAGTGCCGAGTGCCTACGCGAAAATATCAGTGGGATGGTGTCCACCTATCGTCAACGTTCAGATAAATAGGAAGAATCAAATGGCGGTGGTGTCCCTGTACCCTTTCTAGCTCTCAGCTTCACCGGGAACATCATCGAGTTGCGCAGAAGTATTGCGTCTCAGTTAAGTTACATGCGAGACAGTTACTGATCACTTTCGCAGCCTTCTGGAGGCACACTCTGCGATCACGAAAGGTGGAGTGAAGCGGATACTGATCCGACACAACTTTCGTGAAATGGTAGTGGCTTGACGATGGCAACTCAAATACTTATATGTTCATGCGCGTCGGCTTCGCAAGCACGCCGTGGCTCTTCAACAGCAAGCAGAACTGCCAACCAATCCCTCCCCGAGGGTTTTTCTCCTCGTCGATCACGGCTGCATTCAGCAGGCGCCTGCCGCTAACCTGTTTCGCTAGCAGTGGTCTGAATGCCTTCATCTTCGAACGAAAAATTCTCCAAGACATCCAGTGCTCTCGCCGAAATTCTCTCCAACGAGGGCACGGAGAGTTGTCATTGCCACTGTACATCAAGAACGTTGCTGGGGGGGAAGAGGGTTAGATCATCATGTAGGAAGAATGGCGGTGTATAGGTTAGCTTGCGCGCCGTGGATACTTCCATGTTCACCTGGACCAATACAGTACATAGTCTCTCTCGGCGAGTACCGCGGAGACGGGATACACTTAGTGAGTAAATTAGGTGAGCGAATTCCATCTCGATTTCGGAGACAATCGACCAACTTCACAAGACCCCAAAAACAACAACAATAACGATCCTACCGCTCGGAACTCGACGCACATCAACAATACATTATGTTTGGTACACGGCTTTCGAATTCCTGCTAGGCAGCCAGGGAGTGGAACAAAGATACTAGAAACGCGGGGTGTCAGACAGAAAAAACCGAAAAAGAACACAAGTATTGAAACCCACCGCGTTACGCCTTGGATAGGCTCCATCAAGAGCGCTGTTTCTCCATAGAGCTCCAGCGCACGCTCCAAACCCTCTGCGACACCGTAGCGGCCTGTCCGGGCGCTGCTGATATTGTGGAATGTAGGACCTACGCCATCAAGATACCTTCAAGGCTATCCAGATTAGTGTGCCATCGGTGGGAAACCCAGTGCTAAATCGGCGATCAGCGCCCAGCGCCGGCGAAGTAAAAGCGACAAGTACAGACCTGCTAACTCCAATAATTCCACCATGGAAATTGCCTTCGGCGCCCAACGCCATCGCCCTTCCCTCGGAACGCCTTTCCTTCATATACGCCGACTCCCCGGAAAGTTTGACAGCCGTCTTAACTTGTCTCGGCTCCAATGTTCACCGGAAAGACGCTGCCGAAAATAGAGTTGTAAAAGGCCCGAGAAGACAGACAGAGTTTCCGGGCCTGCTCGAGCGGTGCGGAAACTATCTAGGGTGACAATCGCCCTAAATAATTGGAATTATGAACCAGTCTTTTGTCCATATTAGCAAGGGCAGGCTGTACAAACTTTATTGACAGCCCTTTACCAAGAAATAGCCACGTGTAAGCAGGGAGAAATGAGCCAGTAGCAAAAAGATAGCTTACGAGTTAGCATACAGCATATCGATGTATTCTTTCCCTTCTGGGTCCCATATTCTGTGAAAAAGAAAACGGAGATGAGAAGTTGCACGCTGGCAACGTCATTGGCATAAAACGCTCACTTTGCGCCATTGGCAGGGTCAAATACAATAGGCAATGGATGGTAGCTGTATAGTCATCGAGAAGTAACAAAAAAAAGCGCAAACGTGCGTAGTATGAGAGCATTATGATCGTCATCGTTGATGAGACCAGAAGAAACCGCGGAGACGCCCCGGAGGAAGGGAACTAGAAACAGCGGACGAAGGAATTCATCCCCTTTTACTATATAGGAACAACCACAACACCCGAGGCAACGTTATCGTTTCGTTCGACCCATATGTGAGCGGCGTGCTCATATTCCAAACGAACGACGTCCGCTGATGACAAGTACACAAAGATATCTGCATCTGCAACACTGCAGACCGTTGGCATAACTGGACACAGAGTTGTGAGTCAGTGACTTGGGTCGACGAAGATCGTGGTAAGTTGGATGACTCCACCACCGTGGCAAGGATGGTCTGTGTTTGGCTGGGGAGCTCTTTGTTGGCGCTGGTTCGCCCGATTCCACCAGGGCTGAGGCACCCACTTGCACATTGGAGGAATAATCGAAATCTTCCATGGAGATGAAATCACGACCAGTCACCCATTGATGGCCAACCCCCCCCCCGTGGTTTTAGTCTATGTGCACTGGGGAGATATCAGTTTATCAGGGCTGTCTATCTACTTATTACCTCTGTCAGTCGCTCCTCGCGTGTACGGTAGGCATAGAGGTAGGTAAGGGGAGGGAGGGTACGGCGGTTTCGAGCCTGCGAAAGCTCTCGTCAGGGGGCTACCGCTACCCCAACCGCCGCCTATCCTGAGCCAGTTAGGTAGCTACCAGTAGGACTAGCAACAACGGAAGTTCCAAAGGAGCGACCGACGAGACATGATGCTCGCGGTGCTAAGGGTGACCCATCCCAGGTCTGGTATACATCGGGTTGGGAATAAGACGAGAAGGAGGGAAGGGAAGCTTGCTGCCCCAGGCCTTACGGCCTGCGACGCTGTGCGCATCTTTAGGTCAGCGACCCGACCAGCCCTTGAGTGAGGGTGGCTTTCTTTCGAGAACCATCTGGATTTGCTCCGGAACTAGCCGGCACGACGCCTCCATCGCCATGCCACGTGATGGGCATTCACTTGGACAGACGAAGTGCCCTCCATATATTCATTGACCTGTTCTTCATCCACTGCATGGCAGCTGCTGCTGTTCCTGCAGTGTCCAGCCCAGCCGTACATTTCCGGAACAGCAGCGGCTGCAAAACACGGTGGTGGCGAAGGCCTTTCAACAACGTAGAACAGCGTGCGAGTTGATCATCAAAAGGTCAATGCATATTTGGGAAAAGTCGGACATTTTACCAGACTGGCGTATAGTTCGCTGGGGATTCCACCATGCTTTCTCTGACCAGAGGTGCACCTGGTTCCACGAAATTTCGCGACCCTAATTATTGCTGCAGACACCTTTCCCGTGTAAGGCGCGCCCTATTCTGTTCCATTGATTCCACCGTGTCTTATGGAAGCATGGTTGAATCGTGCAATCAGTAAGGTGGACAATGATTCCACCGCCGTCCACCATTGCTTTGTTACCGTCAGCATAAAATGTCGAGTCTTCATCCGTCGAGACTCTGCAAACCCATCTGTAACTTCTTCTTCTCTTCTATTCGTACTCGGTATGAACCACCCCAGCGTCCCGTCAAGTGATCATACTCAATCTAATCTCTCGCTCGGAGAGCTACTCGACATATTTGATTTTCGCTATGGATTGATCGACACTTTTCCGAGGAATGCAGCCCCCGTGCTGGTAGAAACCAGGAATACCTTCATGGAGCAGTATGACAGACCAGATGCTGAAACGTTCAAGCAAGCTTGCCTCAAATTGTCCAAATTCGTCCACACTAAACCATTTCTGACTCAAGACGAGAAAGAAGAGGTATGTCTTTCTCCGGGCGGGCCAATGGGGTCACCGTTGAGTATTTTTATTTGTGCAGCTCGTCAACGTGCTTTGGGTAGCTAACCTGGTTTAGCATATGATGCGTGTTCCTGACTCCTCATATCTCAGCTCGCCGACGGATTGTATGAGGGTTACCTTGTTGTGGACCTCATTTTACACACAAATCATAAGAGCATGGATTTCCGTCTCTTGCTTTACTGCCTCGTCTGCGAAGTACTGCGTAAAACCTATTTGCAATCTCCAATAGAAGGAGCGCTCAAAGGTAGGACCTTATAAAGCAGATATACCTTGACACTCACTTGGCGCGTTTTCATTCTAGGGCGTTTGGAAGATCTCGCGAGTCGTATGCTGACTCGGATTGAGGAATTTGGCAGGCGGGAGCGAGAGAACGCGTTGTCCCTACTGGAGGATTTTGAATGGGATCAGCCATGGTCACAAGACCAGATCTCGGATTCCTCTGAATTGTGGCCGGTCTCCCCTGTCGAACATGCATTCGAACAAAGCCCTTCCATGGCGCAAACCGTAGCTCAGAGGCGGCAATCACTCGTATCCGCTCCCCCTCCGCCAGCAACTCGCGCATGACCCAGGCCTCTCTCAGCATCGCAGTCATTACCTGCACTGGAGGCGGCTTCAGAGCCCGCTAAACGCCGAGTTGCATCCCTGAAACGTTCTTTGTCAATATCAGGGGGGCGTGTGGAGAGTGCTCCCAAAAATATTACCGCAATCGGCACACAGCCCCCACTCACGGAAGAGTAAAAACAAATGTCCTGCTGACGACGAGTCGGGCGTAGATATATCATTCATTGACGTTGATAGCGTTTTGGCGCAATTTGTACTGTATTCCGAATACTGCTAATATGCACGTATGTAACCATGCAAATTATGCACTACACTTTACGAGTAGTATCGTTGTTCTTCTCCGAACACGCAAATCCCTCGTTCCACTTTGTGCGTTAGTCGTAACTTGTAAGCACCGTCGTTGTCCCAAGCAGAATAAGTACTGGTTTGCAACACTCCTATGGGACGACATTACTCTAGATGATGCTGTCGCCTGGCACAATCCAGATTGCACGTCACCAGTCTGAGAAGTTGGAGTCCCCGTGGCCTCCTTACCATTTAGAACAAGTGAGTACAGATCCAAGATCTCAGCCGGTATCCTTCTTCGAGAAACGGAGGATATTATCACAATACTTCCTATGTTTCATATCTTTATCCTGGAGAGTGGTTCTCAATATACCAGGAGCTGAGAGACGTACTCTGCGTTTGGACCATCTATCCCGCAGGTGCAGCACTATCCTTCACCTCTGCGAGAAATGACCAGGACCGATCAATACTGGTGATCGTAGCTACTTGAAAGTTGTCCTATGTGTACTGGAACCAACGATGTACGAGAATATACGCTGCGAAGACGTCGCAAAATACTGGTTTCGTGCGGCATGTGTGCTGTGAAGATAGCAATTTGCACACAAATCGTTACCGTTATCTGTTAACATACAAGAATTCAAATGCGCAAGGCACGCAGCAATATTCAAAATTTTTTCACTTGCATTGCACGATTTACGCACCATATGACGGCGGCTTCATCATTTAGTTCCCCACGTACACGAGTCCTCCCTCCTGTGCCTCAGCTCAACGACCCACTCCATGGTGTCTGCGATCGCCTGGCTCACTTCAGGCTGCTTGCGTGAAATCTGCTTCTGGGTGTGCTCAATGTCGCGATCTATCACGAGGCTGAGCTCACAATCAGACATAACATCGGGGCCATGGGAGCGGTGCTGCGTAATATCTATCTGAAATGAGGTCCGAAGAGGTAGAGAGGGTCGAAGGGTCGAAGGAAGAGGTTAGCAACCTTGGTACGCAAACTGGGCAGGTCCATTGCCAACGAAGAAGCAGCCAGTGTTATCCCAATCTTCGCGCAAATTGGTAAAATTCAGACGTGCAGAAAGGGCTAAACTGCTGGACAACACTCTAAAAGCGCAGGCGAAGATGATTGAGGCATCGAATTTACGTACTATGGACCAACTGGAGATCATGACGGGGGATGCCGACGGAGGTGAGGGCGTAGATCCAAGCCTCCTTTGTGTTTGAAGATGTAAAGTTTGAAACAGCTCGGATAACAGCGGCTCGCTCGTCGGCTTTGGAGCAGACGGCGCCTGTCGGCGGAGGGACTCTGAGTCATTTCAACTGGACGCCCGTTGATGGGGGTGGGAATCACTTGCCTGTACTACCGTCCAGTCTGATTTTGACCTTCCCCTATCTGTGGGGTTCGATGAGTTGGTTCTAAATACTGTCTTCCCTTGGCCTGCTGCTGATAGCGACAAATCATACGTGCGCTTCCAATAATTTGCACCTCTTGTTCGCGTCCATGACAAGTTTCTCAAGGGAGGGGGACGGTTCGACAGGTGTCAACACTGCAGATTCTATCCTAGAGTCAATTTCCTGTAGCAAACCCTCCACTAGTCGATAAGACATTTGTTCGCAGGGCGGGACATATCATGATAGAGTGTCAGCCTTTGAGCTGCAAGTGGCTAACCATGGCGACTTTTTCTACCCGTTCCCATAGGAAGTGCCATTCTATGTCTGATTCCTCTTGCTTACCTGGAACAAGGAAGCTAAATTTCGGCGTTGCGAAGGACGATCTGCTAAGGATTTAGGAGAAAGAACGCGATAAGTTTCTTGGTGCCCCTCAGTCGATGTTGCAGATCGTTCACAGGTAGTACGACTCCAGAGAGCGGCAAAGGAGGACAGCTTTACAGGACGGAAAATTCCCAGATGTTCAGCTATATCCCCGACGGACGAGACATGCCTCCAATAATCGGTGCATTAAGAGCGACGACACCTATATCTCTTCAGAACCTGATCGTGGCACTAGCAAATATACCTGTATGTACCTCGCACTAGCAGCACTAGTAATTCCCCCCCAACAATGAACCTGAATTGCTTGCGACCATGCTCCGCGGCTCGTGGTATCACTCTGAATCGGCGAACGGCATCAAAGATCGACTTCTGGGAGGCCGGTAGCCCGGGGGTGGCCCGGGGGACGTGGAGAGTGTACGTCGCAGTTTGTTGGTTGTCTGACACCCATGCTTGGCTGTCGACCCGAACCAAGTAACCAATCGCGCTGCGTTCGGCCCTCAAGCTTCAAGTAACCATGTGGCAACGTATGTAGTCAAAAAGAAAGGTGTTGTGCCACTTGGTGCAGTAGAACCATTGCTGCAGCAGCATAAAGGCTACAGCACACCCGTGAAGCCAGACACAATTCGAAAGCGAGAGGGTGTGGGGACCACTGCTTTACATTGAATATTGGGACGGGCCTTGCGGTTTCCGGATGGAGATGATAGAATCACGTGCGCGTTCGATGCGCTGACAAGGCGCGGTTTGGGCGCGGTGCAAGAAAGTACAAGGCACCGATAACTAGTCACATGATGTTCCAGCCATAAGTACAGTACATATGCCTTAAATATGTGATATACAGAAACAAAATCGACCAAACTACCATACCCAGTCCTAGCTGGGGGGAGCAATGACTATAAATACCTTCTATGATATGATCGTAGTGCTAGACAGATACATGGGTCGCAGAAATATGGACCGAAAACAAGAAGTCGCCGGTCTCAAGTCATCATCCACCTCTTAGAAAGATGACTATATATGGATGTGGCCAAACCGAAGAGAATATCGGGTATGACAAGGCGAGAGGGGCGTCGATCGGTCTCGACCGGGGATGGGTGCAAATCCTGGCAGTAATTAATATGAAGGTCAACAATGAGTTGAACCTGTGATGGCTTGTAGCACCCAAACACCGCGAGCCTTTTCTTTGCGAACGACGTAGTGCCTTCCCTGGAACAAGACGGAAACGCGCTCGCCATCGCAGCCAGGGTGACCCTCGCGTACCAATAACACTGGCAAGTGTAAAAATTGTAGTATTTGAAAGTGGTGGATGCCGCGCTTGCAAAGAAGGCGATGTCCAAGAGGCGGGGTGAAGGGTGGTGCCATCGAAGTATACCCTTGCATATGGGCGCTTCACTGGTGCTTTGCCAGTACACATGCCGCTGCCTGTGTAGAAATATTAGACGCATCAGTCACTGCAGCCGGGGACAACATACCTCGCTCGCAGGACTGTGATAGTGTCTCTGGCAACTCCACCATTCGAAGATACTACTTGCATACCATGGTTACTAGGAACACGTTCGACGATGAGCATGAGCCTTTCTCCTACCAATACATTAATAACGTAGCTTCGTAAGGAGGTCCTACAGAACTCTAGTGGACTTACCACTCATATCGACATGGACAAGAAGAAATTCATGGTACCAGGACGATCGAGAAGGGATATAATAAAGGTCACATGCAACGACTATTCCGGCTACTTGAGTTCTTGTCCTTGCGAAGCGTAAGAAATCTTGAACGCTGTATTGTCGATAGTTCTCGTAGTCGTGGAGGAGGCCCAAAGTGTGGACCATGGCCATATTAGCAGGATCCGGATGAAGGGCGAAAGTTGGTAGGGACAATCGAAAGCAGACAGAGCAGGTGCCAATATTGGCGGTGGAGAAGAGAACAAAAATGGTTTATAGCCCCGTAGGATTCCATGACAGTATCGGAACCGGACATTACTAACGTCAAGCGGTATTGCCGGGTCCCCTGGCAGGATGCTTTGACATCGTACATCCGGGCAACCACTCGTGTGGCCCATCTTCGACAGGCCCGTATTTGTTTCATAGACAGTTAATAAGAGCAACCTGTAGGCGTGCTTGAGACATGCGGATTCTGTCGTGAACAGGGACGCGGCATTGATGGGGGTGTGCTCGAGCCATGCGCTGCAGGAGATCCATCTTTCTGACGACACTTGTGCGTTTTTGGGAGGTGAACACGGACGCTGGGCTATATCGTTAATAATGGTTAATCCCAGTGAGAACTGTGTAGATCCCAGTCAGACAAGATCGAATACCCTGTAGATATCCAACATGACTGGATGTGAGCCGGCTGCATTCAATTTTTTTTGCACGAGACAGGTCGATGGTGGATGACATTGGAATTCTGTGCATACAATCAGATCTGGTGTTTTTACTGGCACACTGGACAAGTCGCCTTGCCCAAGCGCCACCTGAAATTATGCACGTTCCTCGGGGAGGTCGTCAGCTGTCGAAGAAAGATAAGTTGTTTTTACTGGCATATCGGAAACAGCTGTCAGGTCGCCCTTGGTGCCCTGGAAGGTTCACGAGACGCCCTGCATTTCGGATGCTTGTACACGAATAGGGGAGTAATGGAAGAAATGACTGCGTGGTCTCTCATATAGTGACGTGCGGAAAGGGGGGCGAAACAGACGTTAACCTTCGTCATTGAAGATTTGGAAGGCATACAGCAAAAAAGCACCGCATACTACCGTGATTGTGGAATGCAGTGCATCCTAGGGTTGACTGGGTATTCGTGGGGTTTGTGTGGTCTCATATAGTGACGTGCGGAGAGGGGGGCGAAACGGACCCCGTGATTTGGATGGCATACAGCAAGAAACACTCACGTGCTTATGGCGTAAAATCTGCACGTTTATTTTTCGCGGTCGCATCGCCACATCACCGCGTCCGTTCAGCCGCGATACCTATATGCCGCGGCCTCACCACCGCGTCCAATCAGCCGCGCCACCCATACGTCGCGGCCTCACTGCCTCGCTGCCGCGCCCGTTATTTTTAACTGTACCACCATGTAATTGTATTATTGTATATAGTACACAGATAAATAAATTTGGTTGGAGAGCATTTTTGTTTTCTTCTAGTTCACTTGTTGATTTCACTTGTTGTTGCCATACAGTAGGGAGGGGGAGTGTGTAGATATAATGTGAGAGGAACAACGCCACATATAAATCAGATCTACTAAGGACAGAGGGAGTGCGAGAAACTAAACACCACTGCGTCCAATCAGCCGCATCACCCATACGTCGCGGCCTCACTGCCTCACTGCTGCGCCCATTATTTTTAACTGTACCACCATGTAATTGTATTATTGTATATAGTACAACTTAGTTGTGCTTCGAAATTGGCTTATGAGCCAGGCCAAGATAACTTTGACTTAAACAAAGTCTTGTCAATTTATACGATGCGCCACCACATTTCTACATACAATTACAAGAAGTAACAAATGATACATAACAAGACCTACATAGGTATAATGCTCTGGACAAGACAATCTCTAACATGGGTAATGAATCAGTGGGAGTGGGTGAGTGGTTTATTTATGTGCATTATATTCGAAAACATATACCTCTTGCAATCTTTGCTGACATGGCCAAACTGCAATTTCTTGAGGAGATCAATAGTGTCGTTGAAACTGTATGGGCTCCTTCCATTGAGGAGGAGTCACCCCATGCCATTCCACCACACTGCACCCCAGTCTTCTTCACACCCCTTATGATCCTGATGTTATGCCCGGGTGCGGTGACTTCTTCAAATGGAATAGGCACGAAGCGCACGAGGTGGGAGTCTACGGGCCGAACGTGTCGTAACCCCTATGGCTGAGTTATTGCAAGGATCTGACAAAGGTCTTGTCTACTGGCGAGTCCCTAAGGTTGTTCGTGCGGAGAGAAGACGAGGATCAAAGCAAAGTAATTAGCTCAGTTGCAAGCTATCGAAAAACTGAGGATACAAGGTATGGTACGTGGGTTTATATACCCCTAAGTAAGAGTACCGTACCAGTCGCGAGCGACGCGTATCCGCAGCAGTCAATGAACTAATCTTTGAAATAAATAAGAGTCATCCGGTGTCAGAGATGGGGGTAGGGATGGAAACGAAGGCTATACCGGCTGTGCAGTTGATGCGCAGTGAGGAGCCAGACACCAGATCTATAGTACAACATAAAGGCAATAAAAAGGAGTCAGTCGGACCACGAAGTGAACATCTCACCGATCAGAAGAGCGGTGAACGTTACGGATCAAGAGTGATGAGTCTCGACAGGTATTGGAAATACCTGGACAACCGGAGATCCGAGGCGTCCCTGTAGCATACGCACTCCCAGCACGACGACGACCACCAGCGACGCGACGAGACACGTGACGCATGTGACTGCGAGAAGTCGAAAAAGGAAAGACCCCTGGCAGTAGTGTAACATCACCCCCCCTCTAAGGTCCTCAGACCCTTGAGGACGGGTCGGAAGTCGCATTGACTGGGCGGGTGGATAAGGGTCGATGAGTAGTGTAAACGTGGGAGCGCGTTCTATTGGCGATGGGCGACGATGGTGATGGAGAAGACGGCTCCTCGAGGGCCGGAGTAAAACAGGAACCACGTCCATTGCGGCATGACCAATGTCCCAAGTAACGGCATTGGTAGCAGGCATGTTGATAGAGGGGATGCTTGGGGGGTACAGGGGACTGTCCTCCGAGATAGTAGCGAAGTTGATCTGCAGGGATGGGGACAAAGGGAGTTGCAGGGAGAGGGTCGGTGGCATGGACGGCATTATGATAGTTTTTATGGATACCGGCCCACGACGCGTCCTGTAGGAGTACCTCCCAAGCGGAGTTATGAGTCCCTGTTCCCAGATGAGCACCAACCTCTTTAAAAAGGTCCCCGGAATCTACAAACCCTAGTTCAACGGCGCGCCAAGCCTTTTCTTTCTCCTGATCTGAGACGTCTTCTTTTAACCTGACCTCGATGGGTTCGACTTCTTTAGGGATTATCTGATCAAGAAGTCGGGAAGCAGGCGGAGCGAGGAACTCTCCAATTTGTTGTTGACGTAAATGGTGATAAGCCCCTCCTGTGATGGCCTCAGTAAGATCCGAAGAAGCTCTTTTGAGCATGTCGATCATTACGACTTCGGATAGGGGCGCGGTTCCTGCTAGCTTCCGAGTTCTGATCTTTGACACCAGTCCATTGATTACGTCTGATGCTCGGTAGATTTCAGACAGCATCCCAAAATATGTAACTTGTTCTGGTGTGCACCCGTTAATGTTGTCCCCATCGTGGAAGACGTCAAGTGCCCGAATAACGTCCAAGTATTCAGCCGCTGGGATTGGTAATCCTTGCTGGTCCATCCTGGCAGAGGTGGCTGTGGCAAGGATGTCGAGGGCCGCGCGATGACTTCAGTCTGAGTAGGTAGAGAAGGCGGTGCGTAAGTGGGTAGATTTGGGAGCATCGGTGGCACCGGAGCCGGCAGTTGAGTTATCGGGGTCATGGTCAGGTTTCGCCTTACCCTTTCCCTTGCGGCTACTGTCCTCACTGAGGGGGACTCTGACCTTTGGGGCAGGGGCGTGCCTGACCGTGACTCCCTGGAGTGGGCACGGTCGGAGAGTGCGGGAGAGAGGGGGCGATATCGGATGGGGCTGGGAGATGGGCGAGGAGTACCCTGAGACATAAAAGCTGGTGGGGGACGTTGGAGGTGAGGTCGGGGCATAGATACTGACGGGGGGTATGAACCCGTCGTCGTCGGTGTGACAAAAGGATTCTGTGGGGGCGGGGAGGTCGGCATAGTCGTTTTCGGTGTTTACTGAGCAAGGGGAGTCCATTTAATTCTTGAGGTGACGGGCGAGCTTGTACTGGTCAAGAGCCTCTACAGCGTGCTCCTTTAAATGTTCTTCGGGTTCCCAGGTGTTTGACAAATGGGGAAACCCTTTCCATTTGACCAAATATTTCCGCTTGCCACGACCATCAGTTTTGTGATTTATTATTGACTCCACCTCCCATTCAATTTCATCGTCCACCAATTCCAGAAGAGGGGCTGTGGGCGCAGCACCGTACGTCTCGTTCTCGGTGAACGGAAAGATCTGAGAGGTGTGGAACACCGGATGAACCTTCCAAGTGGCGGGAAGGTCCAGTCGGAACGCGACAGGTGAGACGACTTGAGTCACTTTGAAGGGGCCGAGTCTTCGGGGTGCTATCTTGTCGCACTGGTTTTTGATGCACAGGTAGGTCGTATCCAAGAGAACTTGATCTCCGACCTTGGGCGCAACATAAGTCCCTTTTGATCGAGCCTTCATCAACTCCTGTGCCTTTTTATGGGCGAGGGTTGCGATGTCTCTGCTTGCTGCGAGTTGTTCTAGCCTTTCTTCCACCGAGGGAACCGGAGCTAGCCGTTTTTCTGGGTAAGGGGAGGGTTCGTAGCCGAGGATCAGGGAAAAAGGAGTCATCTGATGCACTGAATGCACCCGGGAGTTGTGGGCGAACTTGGCAGAGGGTAATTTCACGGCCCAAGAGTTCGGGAAATCCGAACAGTACAGCCTTAAGTATCCCTCCACTTCCTGGTTGACGCGTTCGCTTTCTCCATTGGTCTGAGGGTGGTATCCAGTCGACAGCTTCGTCTTGACTCCTATAGCCTTGTAAAGTTCCTTTGTAAACGAGGACGTGAACTGCGGGCCTCGATCGGAGATTACTGACTCCGGCACACCAAATCGGGCATAGATGAACCAATGGAAGAGTCGGGCGATCCTGATGGAGTCAATAGTCTTGTGACACGGAATGAACATGGCAGCTTTAGTGAGTCCCTGATCGACGACCATGAGAATCGAATCGTATTTTTCTTCTCCCGAGATGGGGAGATCCGTAACAAGGTCCATTGAGACTTGTTGGAAGGGAAAAGGTGTTTTTGGGGTTTCGTGGGGAACCACCGGTGGCGTAGGAGGATGGGTGATCACCTTCGTAGTTTGACACAACGGGCATCCGGCAATGTAGGCTTTGATGTCTTTCATCATTCCTTCCCACCATACTTCTTTTCTCATCTTGGCGAACATTGCTTTTTGTCCTGGATGTCCTGCCGATTCGTGATCA